TATCGGTTGCTGAAGCTAACTCTGTGCAACTCGGACTGCTGTATTATGTAACCCCGCTCCGCTCAGAAACTACCAATTTCGCTGCGAAGCTGGTGGAAGCAGGGTGGTCAATGTCCGAGGAAGGACTCATATACAGAAAATTTGCCCAAAGGCATGGCATGGGACGATTTTTACAAGAGTGAAGAGGTTGTGGGAAGACGAATACAAGAACTTACCAACCGTTTGTAATACCGTAGTGGCTGCGAGGCTCTCTGAAGTAGTTATTTGTCGAACTGGTAGTTCAACCTGGCCGAAAGTCATAAAACATCCCAGTGTATCTGCGCGAACAGTAGGGTTCAATCTGGTGCGTCCGCCAACGCAGAAATTAAGGACTGAGATGTCGCTGTCTCGAAGGCTTGTCTCCGAGTACCTTGCGTCCATTACTGTTTTCCAAGCTAAAGCGGTGAGGACGTCATTTGTTGAATAATTTCGTATTTCTGCGAGGTTACTGCAACGCGAAACATCTCTCTTCAGACGTGTGAGAGCATCAGGGCTAAGGCAAAAAACGTGACCGAGATAACCCTCGGTAGTTAAAACGCCACGAACTTGTGTTGCAGTGTCCGTGAGCACGGTGAATTCTGGATGGTCCTCGATCCGTCCTTCAAAGCCAAGTGAGGAATAGTCCGTTGTAAGACGTACGGGGGTTCGTGAGCCGCACGCGCGAGGAAGTAGTCCCCCGGGGAAGCCGAGAAGCCGGCGACGATACGCATGAACTGCCGCGGTAGGTGCGTAAGATATGCCTGGCAGAGCACGCTCTGGTTCCAGCGGCCGGCCTGCGAGATCTGGGCGAGCGACGTGCCATGGGTCTCCGCGTCCTGGGCGCCCACCCTGCGCGGGAGGTGCGTCTTCTTCGACGCGATAAGGCCGGCAGCGCCGAAGATACGCCAGGTCTCTTGTAGCTGCGTCGGGTACGAGCTCCTGCTCGCGGTCCCGCCCGACGAGGACCTTGATCCGATACCAGTCCTGACGGCGCCGGAAGGACGGGGCGGTTCGCCGGCGACGTGCCAGCGCCAAAGAAGAGCTGTGCTAGGGCCTTGCGTACAGAATAAGGGTCCTTGTGCCGGAGCGCGCCCATAAACTCCTTCCTCGCCGTCTTATTTAGCTTGCCGTCCCGTAAAAGGCTTACCAGGCAACTACAGGGGTCGGGCCTCCGAAGGCGGATAGTCGAGTAGGGATAGGTCTGCAAGCTCCATCTTGCGGCGGTTCTCCCCGTAAGAGGTAGTAGTGGCCGAAGAGGAGGTCGACTCGCGTACGGAGGTTTTGCGGCGTATACGCGGCGCCAGTGAGAAGGAGATCCTGGATCCGAAGCCATTCATCGGGGAGGTAGCTGGCCTGGATCCCGTCGCTTCCCGCGGTCTTTAAAGGAGGCGCGGTCGTGCTTCCCCCGCTGCCGGCCCCGTTGCTCAAGGAATCCTCGTACGGCGGCGCCCCGGGGATTCTCCGTATTCGCGTTGCCGTGAGCCACCCGGAGCCTCCATAGCTCGACAACGGCCGCGATATAGGCGTCGATAGTGCCCCTCGTAAGCAAATACCCTTCGGTAAGGTCTACTGCAGCCGTCGCGAGGCCTGTGGATGGCACGTAGCCCTCGCGGTCGTCAGCGAGCAGCTCGGCGGCCTCGGCCAGGGGACCTCAAAGCTTCGGCCAGGCTTTCGGCCTCTGCCATGGCCGTGGCCTCGAGCTGCTCCTGTTCGCGCTGTTGCCGTACCTGTACGGCCTCGCCGTTGCCGTTGCCCCTAACCTTACCCCGCGCGCGCGGCTTCTTCTTCTGCGGCGGCACAACGCGTCGTAACAGGATATCCTCTTTGAGCCACGCCGCCAGCTTGTCCGGCGTTACGAGCTCGCCGTCGGGCCAGCTATAGAGCTCGCCGTCTTCTGCAGCCCGAGGCGTATGGCACCAGGCCTATACGTATTTGTCTGTTAGCCGCCTAGGGGGCCGTACGTGACAGGGATCGAAGTGGAGGACCGGCCGGGGGACGCGCCTTCCACTCCCGCTGCTTCGCCGCGTAACTCCGCGCCGTGTTCGCCGGCTGTTCGTCCTTCTTCGCCTGGATGCCCGCCCTCCGGGCGGCACGGGCGCGCTCGTCAGCTGCCGTGTACGAGTCGTCCGCGGCCATCTCGGTCGATCGGGCACCTTCCTACGGGGCGAATGTCTGGGCTGGGTTGGCCGGAAACCCGATAAGTTGGGTGGGAACTTATCAAATGCACTTATCAGGCGTCCTGCACACGATTTCACGGGCGGCGTTTTGCGGGCGATAAGTGGTCACGTGGTCTAAGTGAATTACGACGCAATTGCGGGCACCACCGATAAGCCGTAAGGCAGACCGCTGACGACAAAAGGACGAATCATCGATCTCGATCTCTGCGACAATGCATTAGTCGAAAATTAGCTCAAATGGCAACACTTAGCGTTTGAGAGCCAGTCCGGGCTCATAACCTGTCACAAATAACTGGAAAGATGCCATGCATGTGAGGGTTATTGAGAGTCAAATTGGCCTTGACCACTGCCCAAGTCAAGGGGACAAAGGTCCCAGTTATATACACAAGAATGGTGCCCCTGTAGGTTGGGACGCCTCCTCGGCTGGGGCGGAATATCGCTTGACACAAGGAACAGCACTGGCGCTGCGTGTTGGGACTGCGCAAAGGGTGAAGGATTTTCTGCCTGCTAAGAGTGACGAGCCATTGATCAATTTGAATCTATAGGTCTCTCTATTGATGCTGTACGTGTCTTTGGGGGCTAAATCGGCACCTTACCTGACGTACTGCTGCGCATCACAACAACTACGAGCTTGCTGCCGCTCCAGGACCTGTCGTGAAAACGGGTTAACGATCTAAGTCCGAAGGTCACCTAGTCGGGCTGACTCTAGCAAAGGTGACTGAGAAGGATGAATAATGTCGTTGGTAAGCGGTGGTATCGAACCTTCTAGATGACAACGTCATCTAGGCGGCCTGGGTGGCGACATCGCCACCACAAGGCAGCCACAGGTGACAGAACTATAAGAAGTCGCTTTTTGTTAGAGAGGAGGAAGAATCTAAGGACAAGGAACTTAATGAATTCATCACTTGCATCCTCTTCGCGAGAGGACCAGCTCCCGTGTCGAATGGATCATCCAGCGGGCTCCAGCCAAAAGTGAGATGCACATCCCAACAGCACTTCAGCTAGAATAACTGATATGGCCTGTCGCTGATTGCAACATCCCGCTTGGCCTCTTTCGACGAGACAGCTGAGAAGAGCCCTGGGAAGCGAAAGACCATGGCGCTGGACCATCGCCGCCTCCGGAGGGTAATGAACGGACTCAAGGAGCGTCAACGTGCGGGCCCGCTGCTAGTCCGCGGTACATTTCCACACCAACCCGAGGTACTCATATGACCGGGGCCAGGGAGCCTAGACCCAAAAGGGAGTTTTGCAACAGTGTCCCCTATCGTCCTCCGTAGCAACCGGCTCCGCAGGGCGGGGCTGGCGTTTCCCCCCTGCGCGCTAAGAAAGTCCTTTCGTTCCTCAAGGCAAGGCACGGCTGGATCAGCGCGGCCATCTGAGACCATCTACAGCTCATTATTGGCCGATCTCTAATAATTCAAATAACTACGCGGGGACAGGAACTCAAGGAGTTCACCTGATATCATGTCAGCCCGACCAGAGACCAGAAATGGGACATATCCAAGACATTATATGCCCGATCGGCGATCGAAGCATTTTGGATTTGAGTACCGGTAAGTCGACGAAAGCATGGAGCATTTAAAGATGGCTGAACCTCCCCTCGTAGTAATGGTGTCTATATTATCACTGACAGCTGGAGTTTTAGCTTGATACTTTTATTATTCGCACTTTGAGCACCTTTGCCAAAAATGAAGGTTACAATCGTCCTTTTGACAGCCCTTGCTGGACGGGGACTAGCAAACCTAGTTTTGGACGCAAAATCGGGGGCAAAACTGGAGAAACGAGTGAACACCGTCGTCAACGGCGTCAACTGTTGTTGTGTCGAGAACCCCGAGGCCAACGGTTGTCCCAGCTGTGCCGTCCTCAGTAACCCCGCCGTCTGTCGCTCCGCCCCCCCCGTCTGTGGTGCCTGTGTCGACCTCAAACGCCTCGGTAACACCGACGGTCAATTCGTCAACCGCTGGTGGGCCTGTAAACGCGGTCAATGTGCCGTAAGTATCTATGTGATCAACGACGAGACTTGACTGCTCGCAGTATGCTGATATACGTGGAAACTCTAGTGTGGTCAACTCGGTGCCGCCCAATGTGCTGGTGTAAGTGCCTATCCCATGATTGACGGTGAGTTTTGACTGCTTGCAGTATGCTGACATAGATGGCAACTCTAGCTCGTAAGTATTTATCCCGTGATTGACGTGTAGAATGCTTGCTCGCTGGCAGCATGTTGACATAACCGGCGATTGTAGTAACTCCGATTTCTTGTGGCGGGTTCATTTGGCGAGTTCGGAACGTTTGATGGGTTACGGCATGGATGCTTCGGTCGTTGTATGGAGTTTGTGACGGTCATACACTGAGCCAGAAGGCTGTGGACTCTATTACGAAGATTCTGCTCTGAAGAAGAAAAGGAGAACAGAACAATACAGCTGGGTGACCGTCTCTCCTAAATATGCCTTTTTAGGTGTATTACGCCCGGAGGATTCCCCCATAGAGCCACTACGCTAGGCTGTCTACAATCTGTATATTGTCCCATCTCACCCAAAGCCCTACGTTTCTGCTCGTTCTATTCCAGCCTCGATCGCTTTTACGTGACAGACCTGCTTGAAGGTCAGTTTCTCCAAGTGTTCAGCGTCCTACCTTCAGCAACTGAAGCGCGGCCTGCCAAGTTGAACTGCATAGCGCATCCTTCCTTGCATTTTTACTTTCTTGGCACGCAAGTGTTAAGAAAGTAGCCTGTTCTCACATACTTTCGCTTAACAAGTGCTCTTGACAAAACTCCAATTGAGCCGCGCGCAAGCGCCGGCAGCGACCATGGCACCAGCCTCAGGTTCGCATGCCGACTCCAATGCCTTGAGACAAGGCATACGATCGCCGCCAAATTCAGCGGCTCACATATTGCATCTCCGACCTCGCTACCCGACGGAAGCTCGCCGAAACGACTCGTTTCCCGCGGCCCAGCAGCTGGCCCAGTCAATCTCTTCCACCGAAACGCTTGAAGCTGCCGTCACGGAAGGAGCGCAGCTGGAAGAAGCCCCGAATCTCCTCGACTCAACCCAGTCCACTGAGCACGCGCCAGTCTCAATTCTCGAAGCGGCCACGAAAATTGCTCGCGACAAAACGGCAGCCCATAACGCCAAGCTGGCAGTCTTACGGGTCTTTAGCGAATCATTCGAACAAGCAGCAAAGCAGTTCACGTCTGGCACCGAAAACAGCATCGCCAAGCAAGTCGCCACCAAATTCCTCAAATTCTGGACTCAATCGCTTGCCGAACTCGAGGAACCACCGAAGCCCACGTACAGCAGCGTTCTCGCATCCGGCAAAACGAACAAAGGACAGCTGGCCTTTACAGTCCCCGCCCCACTACAGCGAAAACCACAGACCACCACTCGTCTGCCAGGACGACCGCCCGTAGCCCCACCGAAGGAAGATCTCCGTGTCTTCGTCCGTCTTGACGCTGATGCTCCGGCCCGAAACCACGAAAGATACGCAATCCGGACCCACATCGCCGCCAGAGTCGGAATTGACCTGCGCCGCATCCCGGCAGTCGTCCCGGTAAAGACGGGCTGGGCTATTCAGGCATCGGATGTGGCCACGCGTGACTTACTTGTGCAACGGCAGGCGGAGTGGGCTGCAGACCTGGAAGCCGCGGCCGTAGAGATAAGCCAGAAATGGCATTCGTACGTGGTAGCCGATTGTCCTCGTAGGCTCACAGACCTACGAGGTGTCGTGATCAACTACGAGGAGGCGGTCAAAGAAGAGATTGCCTGCCAAACCGGACTGAAGCCCATCAGCATACGTCTATCGCGACACGACTCGGGTGATATGCCCACCCAGACCCCGATTGTGTCCTTCCTGGAACCCACACGAAGACCCTGGAGACTTTTCGGCGCCAGCCGTCTCGCCCGTTACATTGACAAACCCAGCATCCCTAGCCAATGCGATAAATGCTGGGATTTCACGCTCGCCACAGCTGCGACCGGACGGCGCGCTGCAGACGTTGCGGCAAGACCAACCATCGTAGCCAGAGTGCGCAGCCCTCGAGCAGTGCGCAAACTGCCTCGGGCCACATTGCGCTGATGACCCTAAATGCCCTGCCCGCCCCAAGCGCGTTCATGGCATTGTACGGCGCCTGACGAAAGAGGAGAAGGGTCTGGTGAGGCAGGCGGGAGCTCAGCTCTTCGCGCAGCAGAAAAGACAGACACCAAATCACAACGTGCCCGAGCAGTCTCGTCAGAGCCCTGATTCGAGTCAGTTACGTTCTTCGGAGTCGCAGGCAGCTGGAGAGGATGGAAGCTCCGGCAGAAGCGTCACTCCAGAGCGAGCCGCTTCCTCACCCCCTTGCATCGTCGTGGCCACGACGCCGCCGCACGCTAGCGATGATAACGAGTTCACCCCTGTCGTCCCGTCGAAGAAACGACGCACTAGCCCTGTGACGCTGCCCTAATGCATTACCGTCATCCCAACAATCGAAGCGACAGGAGGGCCTTGCGAGTCTTCCAAGCCAACGTGGGCAAGATCCCTCCGGCGCATGACACTGCGCTCGCGCTGGCTGATTCGGAGCGATACGACATTATCCTGCTGCAGGAACCATGGACAGGACTTAAAGACGGCCGATGCCTCACCAAGACGCATCCGGCCTACGACACATTCTCACCCGTCACCAACTGGGACGGCCGCGACACTCGTCCGAGAGTCATGACATACGTCCGGCGCTCCGCAGGCCTCGTCGCTGATCCAAAGAGACCTGCGGCGACTCGTGACATCCTTTGGCTCACCGTGAACGGGACGACGGTAGTTAACTTCTATCGGCAGCCGGACTACGACGCGGCTTTGGAAATACTGCTTGGTTGGTGCGCGACGGATAAATGCCTTGTATCTGGCGACTTCAACGCCAAGCATCCCAGCTGGCAGGCCGGTCGACAAGAGCACCGCGGCGAAGACATCGCGTTCTGGGCCATGGATAACCGACTCAGCTTATTGAATGCTGTCGATGTCCCGACTAACGCGCGCGGCAGCACGATCGATCTCGCCTTCTCCAATATACCTTTGGCGGACGCGATTGTTGAGGATCATTTAGCAACCGGATCCGACCACTTTACCCTTAGTATCACGCTGCCTAGTCAAGCCCTAGCACCCCTTCCATTATGCAAGATCCGCCTCAACTCCGATGAGGAATTGAAGCGATTTGTCGAGCTGGTAGAAGCCGGTGCAGCTTTCATCCCGACTACAACCTCAACTCCCTCCGAGCTGGACAAACTTTGCGTCGGCGCTGGTGGACCTTCTTGGTTGTGCAGCGAGAGCTGCTGGCCGACCCGTCCGTAAGACGACGCATGGGGCGCGATGGTGGAACGAAGAGTGCGCAAAGGCGGCGGCCAATTATCGCGCGTGGAGGAGGGTGTACCCTCTCGGCTTCGACCGAGAAGTGCAGCTAGCCAAGCAGGAGCTTCACAATGCAGTGCGCCGAGCAAAACGCCTTTACTGGCGTGACTTGATCGACAGCTTTGCCGACGGCGACTCCGTCTTTCGGGCGGTCCGCTGGCTAAAATCCTCAGGGCCGTGCCAGGCACCTCCCCTGCAAGTAGACGGCCGAGTGTACGAGACGCAGCTGGAGAAAGCCACCGCCTTGCGGCGAGCAACTCTGGAGCGGCGCACAGCGAGCGACGACATCCCAGACCCGTGGATTCCCGTGAACACGGATAAGATGATTCCCTTTCCCGATCAGGTCTCCTTCGAGGAGGCTCGCGACGCCACTCTACGCACCGGGAACACATCTCCAGGCTCGGACAACATCACGGTGCGGATGCTTCGCGCTGTCTGGCATGCAATCGGCAGTCTCGTCCATCAGCTGTATCAAGGCTGCCTCACCATTGGTCACCATCCGAAACCTTTTCGAGAGGCAGAAGTGGTTATGATCGCCAAGCTAGGGCGCAGAGATCTGTCCACACCCCGCGCCTGGCGCCCCATCTCCCTTTTGTCTTGTCTCGGCAAGGGCCTCGAGCGGCTCATTGCACGGCGTCTAGCATGGGCCTCAATCCACTTCGGCGTACTACACCCACAACAAGCCGGCGCGCTTCCGAAGAGGTCGGCCGTGGATCTCGTAGCTGCCTTGGTTCACGACATCGAGGAAGCATTCGCCCGGAAGCAGGTCGCAACCCTGGTGACCTTGGATATACAAGGCGCCTTCGATACAGTTCTCTGCAATAGATTGGTCCTCCGCTTACGAGAACAAGGATGGCCATCGAACCTCGCGCGCTGGGCCGGCTCGTTCATGCAGGACAGATCGGTACGCATCCGCTATCAAGACATTGTGACGGATTCATCGCCCCTCCAGTGCGGTCTGCCGCAGGGGTCGCCCGTCTCGCCGATCCTCTTCCTGTTGTACACGGAGCCGATATATCGCCTAGGTCACTCTCAGGGACGCTCCGGCTACGCGGACGACACTGCCATTCTGTGCGTTGGTGATAGCCTTGATGAAACGTCCGCCGAAGCATCTCACCATGTACGTGAGCTTCTTTCGTGGGGCGCCGCCAACGGGATCTCTTTCGACCCCGACAAGACAGAAGTGATGCACTTCTCTCGAACGAAGCCCAAGACGGCGCCGCCGGTGCTCCACGGCGAGTTTGAGAAACGGCCGGATCGAGCGATGCGTTGGCTCGGCGTTTGGCTCGACAGCTCTCTCTCTTTCAAGACACACGTCGAGAAATGGACGGCCAAGGCGCAAGCTGTTGCATTTCACCTTAGGAGACTGACGAACACCAAACATGGCCCTCTGCCGAGTGCTATGCGACGAGCCGTCTGCGCTTGCGTCATCCCCGTGCTACTGTACGCGGCGGAGGCCTGGTACCCTGGTCCGAAAAGCCCGCGCTGGACGAAGCCTTCCAAGGAGGGCCGTCGGGGATTGGCAACCTCATCAAGAAGATGAGCAAGGCACTCTACACGTCTCTTCGGGCTATTCTGCCAGTGTGGAGGACGACACCGACGAACGTGCTGCACAGGGAGGCGGGAATACCGCCCGTTCCTCTACTCCTCGAAGGGCGTCGAACGGCCTTTGCTGCGCGCCTTAAAGCTCTCGACGAAGCTCATCCGCTCGTCCAGCGCACGTCGCGACCAAAAGCTCCCGTCGTGACCGTGAACAAACTTATCAAGTTGAAGTACCAGAAACAGCCACAGCCCTTCCGTACCAGACTGCGGCGAGCCGACGAAATGCTATCGAGCTGCCCGAGACCTGCTTTACTGCAGCGCGGATTTGCCGAAGAGCAGACTGCGCCTCTGCAGAGTGCATCGAAACACGAGACGGCGAAGAAATTTCGCGACTGGCTTCAGGCACTATCGCCCCGAACTCTTGTCGTCTACTCCGACGGGTCTCGTTCTGAGGAAGGCCACACCGGATACGGCTATGCTGTTCACCGGGACGGATCCACCGTCTTGAGCGGCAAGGGCCGTCTTGGAACAGCTGAGGTTTTCGACGCTGAGGCGAAAGGTGCATTGGAGGGGTTGAAGGCTGCGGTGAGCCTTCCAGAAACTGACCGCATCTTTGTCTGCCTCGACAACCTCGCGACCGCAACATGCTTACGGGGCACGCCGAACGACTCCTCGCAAGAGGTCTTCCTTGAGTTTCAATCTTTGGCGCGAAAATACGGAGCTGTGGAGGTCCATTGGATCCCCGGCCATGCTGACATCCCAGGCAACGAGGAGGCTGATGCTCTGGCAAAGGCGGGAGCATCACTGCCAGAACCCGCTGATAACGTCCCGACGCTAGCCGGAAGAGGCTTTCAAGGCCTGGTGGGAAGCCTCTGCGCCGGAGCGATACAGAGACCTGAGGCTTAAAGCCACAACCAGCTGTCCGTCAGAATTGGCGCTCTCTCGGCCCCTGCTTCATAACTTGCTTGCAGCAAGAACCCATCATGGGGATTTTGCTGACTACCACGAAAGGTTTGGTCACGACGATGCGCGACTGACGTGCTCATGCGGACGACGAAAAGAGCCAGCACACATCTTTTACTGCAGAATGGTTGCGCCACGGCATCGTATGCGGCTTGCACCTTCGCCGCCTGCAGCCATCAACCGCGCAATCGGCAAGGACTTTGACAAATTCGTCAGGCTGGCGAAAGCGAGCTCCTTCTTCGGAGGATCTGCCCACGCCACTAGACGGTCATCATTCTCCTCTCACCCTACCTTTTCCTCTCAATTCTTTCTGCTACCTGCTCCGATCTCGGGCGGCGTCAAGGTCTCGCGACCATGCGATCGCCGAGGTCATCAAGGGCTGCAAGGCCCCAGAAGCAAATTGGCTGATCTGACCACGGGACAGCTTTCTCTTCATGCCTGGACGTCCCGCTGACGGGCAACAGGTTTGTCACGAGCGCCGTTGAGCCGATGAAATGCTGGATAGTGGGTGAAGTGTACGATATGTAGCATGTAGACACCCGCTAGCTCAGCACGTCCTGTGCTCCCCTGCGGAGACCTGAGCGGCCAAAAGCTGCTGGACGGAAAATACACTACTTGTGGACAGGCTCTTCACTGCAGTGAGGTTATTCGAACTGGTTCAATTGGTTATATCTTGTGTAACTAGGGAAACGTGTCCCATACAAACTGTGTGCAAAGACCTTCCTCCCTGTGTCTCACCTCTTACTCGCACGTGACTAGCGCGGTCGATTAGTTATACGTGCGCGATCGGTGCCTAGTGCACAGGTGGATCCAACACTGGAACCTCTTTCTAAATCGATGATCGCGCACTAATCAATCCACCAAAACACACCAAACACAGCGAATTAAGATGAGATAGGAAAAACACGAACAAGAACACCAACAAACTCCTACCACGATGCATCACTATGTTGGATAGTGTGCTCTGACTGTAGCTCTCCTCCCCACACTGGGTGTGTTCTGCCACACGCCATCATGGGCCGCATTTCGAGCGCCGGATGCGCTAGCTGATTCCATCGGTCCCACGTTGGAATATGGACACGAGGATCTCCTCGTTAATGTGAATGGAATAAAAGAACGACGGTAAAGCAGAAGAAGGAAGGAAAAAACCGATTAAATCTCGTCGAGAATTGTTGTGTTATTGCGATGAACGAATCCTTCCACCCTCACGTTTAGCTGATTGTCGCTAATAAACTGCGTGAGGGCGCTGTTTGTGATGCCTTCGTCATAGCATCGGCAGGGTTATCTGCGCCGTTGACCCAACGGATTTCCGCAATATCCCTTGATTCATATGCCTGCCTCAGCGCCATGATATCTATCATGAGTCGCTTCTCTGTTGTGGTGCCAAGTTTGACGAGGCACTCATAGAACTATATGAATCTGTGCAAATGACGAGCGGGATTTGCTTCAGATCAAGGCGTTGTGCGATCGTATTGACCGTTTGCTTGATCACAAATGCGAGATCGAAGCCCGATGTCAATCCATAGATCTCTGATGCAAGAACGCTTCGAGTAACGCGCTTGCATTTAGTTGAGCTCAATGAAGAATGTTTCCGCGGATGGAAAATGAATCGGTTGATTGCGCGGTCTCATTGGCGATGATAATCACAAAGCCGATTTGAGAGCTTAAATCCTTATTGTTGGCGAATGATCCATCGGTGAACACAAAGATCTTCGCGCTCTCGAGATCGATGGGTATGTAACATAGGCCACGGTCGGGATTGTTGATCTGCCATTCAATCCGCTTGTTCAAAGCCTTGAAGTCGGTATTAACGGGCTCTTGGGCTTGTGCCGCAACGGAACAATCGTATGTTGCTTCGGGTTGGCAAATCGAAGCGATATATGCCCCGGGCGCGTTGAGCAGCATAATCCTGATGCCTACTTGATGCCTGAAGATTGATCTCCTCGAGGTTTTGGGCTTGGCCCTTCTGCCTGACGATGACACAGCCATTTTGTATGGTCAGGCGGCTGCCGTTAAAGTCGCAGATGGAACCTTCTTGGAGAATCTCTTTGGCTTGGCCTTAAAGCAGAGTTCTTTCTCCTCGATCTTGAGAAATGCATCTGTGCCAACAATGAATGTGTCATCCGTTTGCAAGGCCGCGATGCCAAACAGGTCCTTGTCGGCGATGTTGTTTGCCGTGATCAGAAGGCACGGGTCAAACGAAGAGGTTTCCATATTAAGCTTGCGGCAGTGATGGTCGTGATATGTGTTGAACCAGTGGGCTCCTGCCTCTGCGATGCCATATAGCGGCTTCACGATTCGCAGGATTGTTCCCTCTGGATATCTTCTTTTGAGTTCTTGAGGAAGGGCTGCAAGGATGACACGGGCCAGCTTGGTCTGGGATTGTGTGTATGCCATCGTGATGTCTCTGATCATGATGAACATATCCCGTGTGCAGAGAAACGGTGCTAAGGCCAAGGCCACGCGTTGTGCGGGCCGGCTGATGGTAGGGGCTTGTGTGAGGATCCACGTTTCCCATCATCATTGTATCCTTGCACAACGAGGCGTGATTTCTCGTATGGCGTTGCAGTATTTCTTCCCTTAACCTCTCTGACCATTCGTGATTTGAAGACACGATATCCACCATGTTTATTCGCATCGAATTCTTCGGGTACAATGACCCCAGCGGCGAGGAGGTTCGTGAGCTCGAGTGTGTCGGAAGCTTCAAATGGGAAACCGGTGCTTGTGATCTTTCCTTCAGCTCGTAGCCGCTTGGCTAGGCCGAGATGTTCCATTTCTTTTCGAACAAGAAACGCATTAGCTTCATGATGAACGATAAATTGAACGGGTGAGCAAACAATAGTGGATTCTGATGTGCCATTTGTGCAGCATCCTTCCTAGGTCGGCCACGCCTGCGCGGCCTCTTTGGCTCAGGGTATTCGAAAGGTTTGGGTTGGTCTTCTGTGGTAGGAAGAGGAAGAGGTTGTCGAGTTGTGGGTGGAAGGGAAGAGGGTTTTGAAGAGGATGTTGTTGATCGGATTGTGTTGAGGAAGGAGTGATTGTTGTGTTGATGGGTCTGTGCGGCTAGGGCTAGGGTCGGGTTGCAACTGAGGAAGGAGCGATTCCGGGTGACGATAGTACGGTTGGACGCATGTACTGCGAAATTTCGCTGGTCCGTTGTCCAGGTCAACTGCGATTTCCGTATCCGTCACCTCGAGCACTTTATATGGGCCTTGCCATCCGTGCTTCTCGCGAAATACGCGAACTTCGCTTCCTAGCGCCAGGGATAGGGGCAGGCGCAACGCTGTATCAGGCCCATTACGCGTATTTAACGCGGTCTGAACCTTCCTCTGGGCGTTGATCTTCCTCAGCTCTGACATCGTTCGCCACACCGCCTTAGCTCTTGCCATTGCGGAAGGTGTAGGCGGCGAATCCATCGTCATTCGAGGCAGAGCACCGAAGACGAGGAGGGTTGGAACGAGGCCATCCGGACCGGCTGTGTCGTTGACAGCCTTGAAAGCCATTTGAAGGACTTGATCAGGGCTCACGGTATCCTTCAGCTCTGCCTTTAATATATCATATGCTCTTCGGACGGGCACATGATACTTCTCAACCTTCCCAACAGCCCAATGTGCTTCCACAGGCACCTGATGACACGTTATTCCCATCAATTTCGCTTCTGCTTGGAACTCGGCAGCAGCGAAATTCGTGCCTGCGTCATGAGTGATCACATCGGGTGGTCCAAGGTATGTATCCATCCAACATTGTTTCAACGCGAGCCACGTTTCCTTGGCCGTCATGTTGGATAGGAATCTCCTGCCTGATAGGCAGTGGCGATCAACAACATGGAGGACTGGTCTGCCACCCAATGTCATGACATCAACGATGACTTCGTAATTGAAGTCACAATCATCCTTCAAGCTGAACTTGAACCTTCGTGGCGGGTCGGATTTCATCTGACAGTAGTGGCAGAACTTCTTGATCATTTCCAGAGCTTCGATTTCCACATCATGGCCAGCCGAATTCAGCAGCTTGTGCAGCCGATACACGGATGGATGACCAAAACGCGTGTGGAGGCGCCGCAATTCAGCCTCCGTGAGATATGCCACTGATGCCTCTTGTTTCCGCAAGAAGAACCACGCGTGACCCCATCTTCGAATCACTGGAACGCTCACACCATTGCCAACGAGCTCGTTCGTGACGTTATTTAAATATACGCCGAGCCGATCCATATCAGCTAGGCATAGGAGGAATGGCGTTGGCACGTTGACTATATGAAAATCAACCTCTCCCACTGGTGTGTTCAAGGTGATCACGCCAAGTGGTGTTTCCAATCTTCCTGCACCAAATCTAACTGGTTCGGGCTTGCGATCATCACGGAATTGGACTGGGGGCATCTCTCGTTGGAGAGCACGCAGTTGTTCGATTCCTCCCGTCGATATGCATGCCGCACCTGTGTCCGGCATGATTCCTTGGAACGAGTCTTGAGAGTAACGATCTAGTATGAATTGTGTGGGTTCGTCACTGTTGAATAACTTGATGCCTACTGAGAGATCCGATGATGGAAAGCTTCGTTGGACAGAAGGTCGCAGCAGCGTAGAACGATTCATAAGGGTCAGAGGAGTCAGAATCATCGGATTCCTCGGTGCTCGAGTCATCCTGATCCTGTGATTCCCCTTCATAGTCAGCCAAGAACATAGCATACGAACGAGATTGACCGTGGAAGCTCTCTCTCGTAGATACTTCTCTTTGGCTGCTTTTCTCTCGTTTTCAGGATGTCTCGTTGAGAAACAACCTTCCTTGCCGCAAACGTAGCATTTCTTCTTCCAATTTGGCTGACGCCTTTGTGATTGACCTCTTGTTCCGCCGGAATTTCGCTGAAATTTGCGATCCACGAAGTGCTGATCATGTCCTCTATCCAGGTCTTGGGGATATTGGCCACTGGGTTGTTCAGATCGTTCATCTTGCATGGCAGATAGCGATGATCGAAGCTGTGATGCCAATCCCTCAAATGTAGGTGCGGGAGAGTATATCGCGAGTCGGAATTCAGGCACACCACGGCACGCCCTGAGCGTTGCATCGATCAGGCCACCTTCGCCGCCAGACTTATCCCCGAGTGCTCTCCTACAGAGCCGCAATTTCGTAAGAAGGGCCTGGAGGACCTCGTCAGATGACTTACCGGGCATCTCAGCCCGAAGTCGGCTGAAGGTGAGGGTGCTCCAGTGGGTATGATACATCTTCTGGTTGATTTCGGTGTCAAAGTGCTCTTTCATCTTCTGATACATCTCAGCGAAGGTTAAATCAGTGCTGATTTCGTGTAGAAAGAAGGACTGAGCTTCCTTGGCCAGAATCGAAGGAAAACACCATGGAATTTAGACGGAGGAATGTTTGCTTGACGGCACACGCTCATGAATTTCCGGATCTTGTCATCGAAGATATCGTATGGTTCGCCGGTATAGGCTAGTTTCTTGTCCCATATCTTAATGAATCTAATCGTGAGATCGGCCTCAACTTCCTCGTTCTCGAATCGAACAGGTGGAATGCTCGTGTATGCATCTCGGAAGTTGGTAGTCCGTACGGGAGCGTCTGCTGATACCGAGGGATTCGCGCCATTGATGCTGAGGCTCTTGCTGAGCGGGTTGATGGGTCTCAATGATCTGAGGATTCCGGTTCCGCCGGTCGGGTAATAGTTGGCTGCTGGATTACTACCGGTGCCGGTGACGATATAGCCGCTTTAACAGTTCCTTGGAGCAGCTTCTGTTTCACCTTATATGCCACGGTGTTTTCAGCAACCTCTTGACCAAGCAACTCGTTCTCATCCCATTCAGGAAGTTCGTTACTTGTTAGAAGGCCACATAAAGCTCGAGAGATGCTAGAGTTGGCCTTGCCCATATAGATCCCTAATTCTGAGAAGCGTCCGGAGTCTTGATCTAAGGCGTGGGTTGATTAGTTCGAAGTCATCATAGCTCCATCCCGTGAAGTCGTTATACAGATCCCCAAGCAGGGCAATTCCGTGGTTACGTTTATCCACCGTGTATGTTGCCACACAGCCTAAGAAGAAGCTGTTGCGGTGGACAAGGGAGGAGCTCTGGGTGATAGGTTCGTTGAGGAAATCCGCGTCGAAATGCCTGATCGGGAGTGAAGGAGCTCCACGATCGTCAGGTTCCGTTCAACGAGTTGCCTGTCTTCGAGAGACACGTTGGCCGGGGTATCCTGGGCTGTTGCCGGGGCTAGTGCGGCAGATGAATTGTCAGACATATTGACAGGCTGTGTGCTGAGAAACAGGGCACAGGGTGTCAATGAGGTTATCAATGTGCGATAGGGCACGCCTAAGGGTCGCTGATGACAGCAAAGCTTAGGCACGGTTGGATAACTAGAGTGGGCTCTGATGCAGAGTCTTCGTAGCAATCCGCGCGTTGTAGCAACTATCCTACCGTCAGGAGCTCGCTTTGCAGAGCGTGACGATAGGTTAGCTCTCTTCCGTCTTGCTGTTCTGTGTCACCTTTGCCGGGCGACACTGATCAGTGTGGACAGGCTCTTCACTGCAGTGAGGTTATTCGAACTGGTTCAATTGGTTATATCTTGTGTAACTAGGAAACGTGTCCCATACAAACTGTGTGCAAAGACCTTCCTCCCTGTGTCTCACCTCTTACTCGCACGTGACTAGCGCGGTCGATTAGTTATACGTGCGCGATCGGTGCCTAGTGCACAGGTGGATCCAACACTACTACCCGTTGGCGGGGCCCTTCGGGAGCCACTAAGGGGACAAGCCCCCCCTTAGTTGGGGAGCTAATGTGTGGACGCGCCCCAAACCCGTGGACGCAGCTTATGCGGGCAATTGCCTGCAAAAGTCAGCCCGCACATTCCACGCCTGTCTAAGCCCAATAAAAATTAGTGCAGCGTGTAGAGCGATTGAATTATATTATATGAAGCATTTGATGATATGAATTCTAAGCGTTGTGCGCAATTGCATAGCGTTGAGGCATGCATGTGTTGCTGTTGAAGTGGGTGGCTGCCCTCCTTTGCCCTATATAACCCCCTTGCCTAATTCTTCTCCCTTATCCCTACTAGATTAGCTACATAGCTAATTTATATATTAATTGGATCCTTAGTTGATGCTTGTTTAGTGTAGCTATCTCGAATAATAGCCTCAAGCCTCTTCCAGCCTGGCTCATGGGGCGTAGGCGTGCCCGGCGGCGACGATGACGGCGAGGGCTCCGTAAGAGGCGGCGATGACGACAACGCTTGCAGCGGCAGCGGGGGCTGTTGTGACGATGTGATGATCTTCCCGGTTACCCACGCGCCTGCCGTTAAGAAGATGCTAGCAGAACAGCTCAAGCTTCGTGAGGCAGTCAACCCAGCGTTTGTTAGTCTGCTTCCACCAGAAACACGGTTCGAACAAGCAGCCGATACAATGCAGCAGCTACGACATCTATTGCAGTACGAGATGGGCAGCAAGCATTAATCTTGAGTGGAATAAAGCTCTTAATTCTTCTATCTAGAGAGGGAGTGTAGATGATCTTATATAGATAGAAGAGCAGTGGAAGTGAATGAATAACCCAGCTGTTGGGTTGTGGCTGTGTAAAGCGTAGGCAAAAGGAAGGTTGGTGAGGCTTGTATATACTGATGTGCCAGTGTGACAGTGCAACAACATCGGTATCACAGGAGACCGGCCCCTTTCAGGGTCCGCCAATGCCTTGAGGAACGGGACGAGAGTTGGGCATAACCGAGCGCGAGCATTCGGTTTGGTTCTTGGACAAGTCTGTTGGAGAAGAGAGGTGGGAGTGCGGCTGCTTGAACCCATTACAGCACCTTACCCGTTTATCGGCTGCTGAAGAAGCCACTGCGTCCTGTAGGACGAGAGAGAGAGAAGACCCTTACGAACATCCACTCGGGCTGCCAATCCGTATTAACGGTATCCTCTGCCGTGGGGAGCAGTACGCTAGCTTCTTTATTCCGCGGAAGCAGGATGAGATTGGTAAAATACAAGAAAACGCGCCTCCTTCGCTTGGTAACTAACGAGCCAGTATAGGTAGCGTCGATCTCGATCCCCTCCCACACAACGAGTATTCCGATTGTCTCTCAATGACTGTGGATGAATGGGTTATAAAATACGTCCGACCACAGTTTGAGAGCAACTTCCAGGATAATGTGCGTTGGGAGATTGGGAATAGTTGACAAAAGCAGAGAGGATTAAGGAGGATCCCACTGGATAATCCTGAAGTTACTATTTACGACCTCTTTTTCCAGCACGCTATAGACTCTCCCAAGGCTCGTAAGAGTTGGTCAGTCGACGAGGGTCATATCGTCGTCTGGATCAGCTTTCAGGTTGAAGACCCTAACCTTCGTGCGGCCTCGAAGTCTATTAGTGATTCGAAACGGAAAACGAAGAACGGAACATCTCATAGGGAACAAGATCGCAATGTCCATGCGAGCTCGAAGTCCCGCGGGAAAAGGAAGAGAAATGCGTCTCCTGATGCGATAGACACGCCTCATCGTGTCAAAAAGGAGCGTATCGAGGTTGATCAATTCGAAAGTTCGCCACTGCCGGACCTAATGGATCTTGCTAGTGACTCTATCCCAGGGTGGCAAACCACGCAATCAACGCAACCGAGTGACGGGATTGCGTGGATTGCCAGCTTAAATCATCAAATCCTCGATTGCGTTGAGCAATCTGAATCTCAATTGCGTGGATTGCGTGGATTGCTGGCGTTGACGGTTGTCAATATGCTATTCGGAGATAACGACAAAGTCCTCTGGCCCGTCCTCCCCTTTCTCAGAATTATCCTCTGCGGCCTCCACGAAGGCGTTGTCGTCTACCGATGGATCAACGACTCCTGGTAGTTGTGTATTAATCCCGCGTTCAGCCAAGACCGGATGGACTGTGCGGCGCTGATGGTCTTCACCTCAAGTCTCCTGCGCAGCCGGGTAACCATCAGTCCAGCAAATGAAAACGCCCTTTCGCACTCGGCAGACATGGGCGGGACGGATAGCATATCGAAAGCCATCCGCGCCAGCCGCGGATATGTCGCCTCTTTGAGTTTCCAGTACTGAAATGGATCATTGATCTCCCGTCGTCTGCCCCGATATCGACGGTCCAACGATCCAACTCGTCGGCGATAGGGCGCGTCGGCAGCCGGTAATCACCATTCGTGATATGGCTCGATTGCACCCTGTGCCTCATTCGAAACTTTTGGAAATCGTCCAGATCGTCGGGTGGCTGGAAATTCTCCACAGCAGTGGCTGGACCCTCCTCCTCGACGTTCAGCGACTTATAGTCACTTTCCCAGATGGCTCGGACGATCCGCCGGGCTTCCGTGACCCATTCGGGTCGATGAGCCCAAGCTTCTTCGAACCACTGTAACCGCAAGGCAGGATGCAGAGCGATGGCCGAGTAGTATATCGGACACTCGATGAGTTTCGCGTAGTACTTATCCAATTTTTCCAACCCAATTCGACGTTGATTGCGAAGTGGCCAGAATCCGGCAGGTCTCTGGCCATCGTTTTGGCTTCTTCAAGCTTCTCCAGAAGATATTCGAACGCCTGGATGATATCCCATGCGGTTCCATAGGCTATGAGCTTCCCGTCTTTGCGGACACGGACTTGCGCGTCTCCTTCAAGTGCCTTGAGAGCATTGGCAAAATGTCTCAGGACATCTCGAAATTGCTGATCACCATCCAATCGTTCTCCGTCAGTAAATCCTCATCTCGTATACACGCAGGCCTGGCTCTACTTCTCGACCTGCCTCTGCTGTGCTCGAACCGTTCGATCGCGACAAGGTCGTCGAGAAATTCGCGAAGGAGAAGAGCCCGATCCATCATTTTGTAATGAGACAGCCAGCGCGTCATGTTATCGGTCACAACGTCGACCGGCCTTTTCGTACCATCCTTCTTCTCCTGCAGGCTCCGTAGTAGATAGGTCAGCCTGTCGGATCGATGAATCAATGGACGAGATTGTGGAGTTTGCCGATCGGACCTTTTTTTCGCCAAAGGTTGTGCTGAGCCAGGTCGAGAATATTGGTACGATCTTCTGAATCGAAGACCTCGTCGTCTTTTCCAAAGAGCAGTGCTTTCGCTACAAGGTTGATAATATGTCCAAAGCAGCGGACCCTTCTTTGCCTCCCATCGAAACTGAATTGGTCACCCAGGGCCCTCATCGCGGTGTCGTTGTTCTCCGCGTTATCCAACGTGAAGTAGCCAATCTTATCCTGTATCTCGAACGAGGTGATGACTTCTGCCACCTGAGAAGCGATGTTCTCTCCAGTATGGGACTGCCGCAACTCAGGCATTCCGAGAAGTATTTTTTGTGGGCGCTTTTCCTTGGACAGGTAGAACGCAGCAATCCCGTACACAGCGTGCCGATTGGGCGATCTCCAGCCGTCAAACGCAAGATGGATACGGCCGGGGCACTCTTTCAATTCCTTCACCACAACGCCCTTGTATTGGTGATACTCTTCGAAAAGCCTGGACCGAATGGTCGTGTGAGTCATGTGTGACTGGGTCAGGCCAATTGAAGGATTGAGATAGTCGAGCAGAGAACGGAATCGAGGGGCTTCGATGGCGCGAAAGGCAACATTTGACTCGGTGATCCAAGCAAGTAGGAGTGATTGGAACACATTCTTATCAAAGTGATTCTTGAGCGTGTTGATCAAGGCCTGCTCTTTGCCGTCGTTTGCGTCGAGCTCGAAGAACTGTGCGATAGAGCGCTTCTTTGTTGTCGTACCTTTCGGCAGACGTTTCCAACGGCCCAGAAATGCGGTGCGCATCGTGCAGATGGCGCTCGATATTTGTCGTTCCCTTCGCTGCAAAGCTTGGGGTCCTTGGGGCGATTTCTTGACCGAACAGGTCCCGCATACCCACAGCCTATTGTCCCCGTTGTCTTGATGCTCAATGTCAAACCCAAAGCGCCAAATCCACGACTTGAGCTTGCCGGCGCGTTGGGATTTGGTGTAGCCGCGAAAGTGCTGCCATGGAAATGTTTCCCATTCTCGACTGCCTTGGGGCCTGCAGAAGGCAAAGAATCGAGATAGTCGCCCATCTAAGAAGAGTGGGATAATATGAGAGGCGTTACAAACATCCCGATTGCGGCACGATGATTGAGTCACTTTCCCCCTTACTCATGAACGCGTGGACGCCAGGTTCAGACACGAGCGCGTCGCGTTCATAACAGCAAGGGACTCTTGTCAGAATGGATGATTGGTCCAATTGTCAATCTGCCCCTGAGCTGCTGACGCTTCGGCTTGGGTGAGATTTCTTCATAAAATACTTCGAACACCCGTTAAGTTGCCAAGGCAAGGGGCTTAACGGCTGAATATCCAGCCCGAAGGGTAAATATCGTAACCTGCAATTCACTTTCCTAGGGGGAGACCCCCTAGAACCCCCCATTCGCCTGCCGCGGCACACCAGCTGTTCAAACCGCTTCAAACCTGCACTGAGGGAATTGACTGATAGTTAGGAGTCTCTCTGCTGCTTCCCAACAGGCCCAACCTAACTATAACTATATACTATATATCGAACCTCCTTTCCCGCAGCTTAGAGGAACATGCCGTTTAGTCAAGGTAGCGTGGTGGATATGGTGGGTCGGTCAGCTGTTGACCCTGACGCCGTTGTTGGTCAGCGAGGCGCATCTTCATCCCTGCCTTATAGTTAGTCGTGAACGCGGTACGTAGGAAACGCAGGCGTGTAAACCTTCCGTCGGCGTGTGGTTATAGAGGCTCTGACGATCGAAAGGCACCTCAAGGAGTAAGCCTTGCAGCGACGTAACCCGTGAGACAGCAACATAGCTAATGCCGGCCTGGAAGTCGCGTGTAGCGAGATCAGTAACTATTTGATCCTTCGTTAGGCTCTGGCATTTGTGAACAGTGATAGCAAACGCCACCATCAGGGGAAACTGCGTGCGAGCGCAGGTCTCGTTGCCCACAAGGAAGTCTCGCCTGACTGGGAGGATGGGTGAGATTTTCCTGCCCTCGTTAGTTGTTAGATACGGCGGTCCGTCGTAGCTATCAAAGTCCACCATAATAACGGCTGGGGGGTCTTCCAACGGGTCGGCGCCTGCGTTCCAGGCGATATCGTATACAGTACCCTGAGCACCGTTAACTAGGCCAGCTGGCTGCCACAGATTAGTCGTGAGCATCACCCTGGTGCCCTTAGCAACAGGGAACTTGTTAGATAGGTTGCCAGCACTGTCGCTTGATGCCTGTCCCGCGCCGTTGCCTTGATTCTTTGCCTCGACCTGTATTGCCGGGGCGTTGAGGTGCACCATATGCTCGTGGTTGTATTGGTTGACCCGGGCCTTTGTAGAATACACTCGCAAAGCGGTCCTGAAGCCGTCAACCTCGCTCTGCGTCAACCTGGCCTGTACCCGATTGCTAAGGAGGTTCCAGGATGGTATAGATAACTTGACTTCACGCAGTTCCTGTAACGCCTGACGGAACTGGGCCTGGTCATCACCAACCTGGCGCTGTACCGTGGTCAGGAAGACGGTGCGGTCAAATAGCCGGTAGGCCACCTGCCCTCTCCTTTCCAACGAAGACAGGCTGGTGCTAGTCGAATACAGGGGCTTCTGTCGGACTGGTGGTAACTGGAAGAAATCGCCCACAAGCAAGACGCTCACACCACCGAAGAACTCGAGGCTACGCTGTGGAAAGGCCTGCCGCAGACGGGAATCGATCCGCGCGAGCTGCTCAAGCCCTAGCATGCTCTTTTCATCGATAACGAGGTATTTGACGTGCCGTAGGCGGGACTGAAGGGCGGCTGCGTCGGCTGGGGAAGGTCGGTAAAGTACCACCTACTGGGAGGCGTAGCAACGAATGAATGGTGCTGCCTTGTATCTGGTTACTCGCAACGCCTGTTGGCGCCACGCGGCAAATAGGGCTAGAATTCGGTAGGGCGGCTGCTTGAAGATGGGAAGAAAGCACCTTGATAAGGAATGACTTGCCTGTGCCACCACCGCCATCAACGTGGAGAAGGATTTGAGTAGGATTTTGCGCCTGGAAGTGACCCATGAATGTGTCGTACACGAGCCGTTGTTGTGGGTTCAGCGTATTACGCCAGTGAGGGCCAAGGACCTCGACATCGTTGGCCATGGGGTGGCTAGCGATAAGGTCTTTCAGTAGCCGTCTCGAAGTTCCGGATAAGTACCCACATGCCGTGTCCAGTCGTAATTGACGTCGATATCGCGGCGGCCAAGTAGGTCAAGATCCTCCTGGGTAAGGGGTTGTCAGGTAAAGGGCGGCGAGGCGAATCCAGTCTTCGTCATCAAATTCTTCCTCCACAGGCAGAGCCTCGTATTGATCATCTTGAGGCTGTAATCGAGCCTCTTTTGGCCGACCGTAATGGTCATCACCATGACTGTGGTGCTGCCAACAATAGGAGAAGGCCTCAGCGTGAGAACCAAAAGCTGGCCATCAAATGTGAGAGATCATCAACCCGCCGATGTGGGTGGTTTAATGTTAGCTTTGCACGGCAGTAATCTAGCCACTGTTGGCCTTCTGGAGCAGCCTGATAGCGAGGAAAGTAAACCAGCACACGAGGCCTACCGTTAACGTTGCCTGGCTGCCATTGCTTCCACTTGGAAGGGTCCCTAGGGCGGAAATTCCAGCACTTCAGGAAGGAGACGTAGTTTAGGTCCGCTAGGGCTTCCGGGCGTTGACAGTACTTTTCGAAAACGTTGGGGCCTCGTCAACCTCATCGCCATCAATACGGAGGAGCGGGAATGCCTGTCAGGATTACGACAGTCAACGTACAGGCAGGTTCGTGAGCCTTCCTGTAACGGCAGGCCGAGGAGCAAGTGGCTGACCTCCTGCTTCGAGTAATCCCGCTCAGCAACCAGCTGATTAAGGAGCTTTGACGTGAAGGAAATCAGGGGTTGTGGTCCTTGACCCGGGACATCAAAGCCTCCCAATCTGGGCAAAAGACTCGCTCTTCTTTTCCGACTTGGAGCAGTATTTGGCCGCGTAATCGATTACCTGCTGGAGGCTCGTGCAGGGCGAAACATCTGTATTGGCTAGCCACGCAACGGTAAGCAAGCGGTTGTAGTGGTTAATCTGGCCATCGTTCCTCTCGCCCTGAAGTTCCAGTGCTTAGAATGAGGAACCTTGTCAAGGAGGCTAGCAGGCGCTGTCCGTGAGGAAATCCAAAGCGGCACTCCACCTGCTTGGTATGCTTATTGAGCTGCATACAGTAGTTGTTGCAGCGGTGGCGTTGCACGCGGTTGACCACCATTGATAGGAACTGAACCGTAAGGGGCTGCTCCAATAGATTGCCGATCAGGATTCCCTTCCCAGGCGCCTGTATTCGCTGAGGCTCTGGGTTGACAGCAGATACGTGATATCCCCAGATGCGGGCGAATTGCTCCCGGGACTGATCGTTGTCAGGATCTAAGTCTGGGTGGCCACTTAGCCAATATAGGCCGTGGTGGTGACTGGAACCCCTGCCCTGCCACTCGTAACGGCCCCAAAAGTCCGTTAGGTTGAACTTCTGCTTCAGGACAGTAGTCCTAAACAGCGTATAACGCTTATGGAAGTGGTAAGCGGCGATGTGGGCGTTGTCTCGCAGTAGTTGCCGGGACAGGACCATGCGCGCCGCCTCAGGAGCTGCTTTCCACTCTTGGAATCGAGGCATGTGACGATATAGGGACTCCCAGTGGTAATCGGCCGCACTTGCAGTAACGAAAAGGCCAGGTCTGCCCAGATTGTAGGCATATGCTTCCAATTCCTTTCTTTGCTTATACCAATACGGCCGGGTGCCCCTGATTACCGCGGCTTGGCGCGTGATCGACTGGATCAGGTCCTGAGCCTCTGGCTCGTCAGGCTCAGCCATCGCTTCCTCTAGGTCAGCGCGTGTAAGGGGTTGACGGCGGCTGTCGCGTTGCTTGACGAAGTAGTCACTTCGCTTTCGGACCTGCGCACGTAACAGCGTGTTGAGGGCGACGAAAGGCCACGTCTTATGGCGGGCAAAACGTCCGTCATGCCATCTCATCGCATGGCCAAGGTAGTCCTGGTACGTGATGTTCCGTAGGCGAGGCTCCACGAAGTCGGCCTTGCCGTCAGGGTAGAGGGTAGGGAACGCGAGCGTTAGCAGCGGCTGGGAACGGTTGAATTCGTCGATAGGGGTCCTGCGAATGGAAGGCAGCGGCATCCGGTGGAGAGTTTGCGCGCTACGCGGCATATACTCCAGATCAGTCATGCGCTCAGGTTAGGGCACCATCAAGAAATCGGGACTGCAGAGCGTTCAATTCGGTATCGGAAACTTGCAAATTCGGGATCGCTGATGCGTCGGCGTCGCTAGGATCCTCTTCCACAGCCTCCTCAACGGGCCCTTGGGGGACCTCGCCGTCAGGCATGTCAGCCACTTGGCTGGCAATGGAAGCAACTATGTTGCCATCAAGAGGAAGCCGGTGCAGGCGATCCTGACTCACGGCGATATCGCGATAGCCCGGGTGGTGGCGTTGTAGGTAATGCAGCCAGGCCAACAGGCATGGGCGGCGTACCCGGAAATCGCGAGCAAACTGTTGCCGGAAGCGAGGGTCGCCCTCCATATTAGTAGGCCGCAGGAGGACGATATCTAGCTCTTCAGGTAGGACTGGGAGCTCTTCAAATAGCCTGCCAACATTGCGAAGGAAGTGGACAACGTGACCGCGATATTTATATTGAGCGCCACGTACCTGCAGGACCTTCACGTGTACGTGAACCCTAGCAATGAGCATCTCCTCGACCATTGTTAGATCAGGTAGATTGCCGGGGACTTCCCGAAGTCAAGGTTGTTCGCAGCGCTAAAGAAGTAGGGCTCGTGAGGGGTTTTCTTCCTGTCTCGACCAATGCAGCGGCTGCAGATTTTCAAGCTATTTCGCTTCATATCGAACCAACGCTCCTGGCAACGAATGCAACTATGCATCTTGTCGTCATTCAGCGCAGTATAGAACTCCTCACAAGAGCTTGATCTTCCTCACTAAGGGCAGGCAAGTTAAGGTCACCTGTAAAAGGCGGATCAATACTCTGACCAAACTGTCGCGCTTGAGGCTGTGTGCCTTGACGAGTATAACGGCCGCGGCGATGACACTGTGGCAATAATGAAGGAGTGGTAGGAAGCGATTCCTGTGGTACAGGGTGCCTTGCACAACAGGTGCCGTAGAAGCAGTGTCTTGAATCGGCGTGCCCAGAACTACTGTTGGCAGGACATGGGTAGGAGGGATAGGGGAAGGTCCCCCAACAGCACTTAGGGTAGATGGCCCCAGCGGAGGTATAGGCAGTCCCAGTGCAGGCGCCTGGCCACGGAATAAAGCAGGCATGACATGAGGTTGTGGGCCGTTCACAGACGCAGGCGTTGGCGCAGTCCGCTTTGGAGGCGTCAGGTTAGCTAGCGAATCCGTCCTCTTCCTGGTTCTGCGTGGCGATAGCCTCAAGGCGATATTCCGCATTGCGGCAACGGCGGCTCGAGATTCGGTTACCCGTTCCTTTCGGCGTGCCTTACAGCTAGCACAGTCTCTTGTAAACTTCGTAGGGTCCTTGACGCTTCGAAATTCGACTTCGGGCAGGTATTGCTTGCAGGTATGGCAGTTCCGAACCGCCTGGGGTATATCGTCCTCCATCTGGCTGTATATGTATCCACACCATAAACACCTAGACTGCTCGATTTCGCTCGGGCAGGGAGGCTCTGCGACGTCCTACGTGTAATACCGTGATAGATCTCGATGGGGAGGCTGTCTTTCAGGTAATTAGATCAGGTCTGAATGATCAGGAGGAAACTGCACTGCTTCCGGAGACAGGGTAGCCAGGGAATCTTGAGAGGTAGGCCGGCAGCCGGAGGTCATGTGTGAGCCTAGATACCGTTAACAAACTGATGTGGTTTGACAGGTTCGACAGAAAAGGGGAGCAGCCGCCATGTAGTTTAGTGTAAGGAGTATGGGGCACGGGGGCTATTCAGTCAAAATCGTGCATAGCAACGCAACAAATTGACCGCATGGAAGAAAGGAAGAACTGAAAACTCCTGAAGACTTTGCCAAGCAAGCTAGTTTCCTAGTCAACGCTCAGGGGTAGTTTTTGCGGGCCTTCCTTTGGTGACGTTATCAGTCGACCAATCCGCGCACGAGTTGAGCACGGGCCAGGCCAATTAGCCAATCAGAGGAGGTTTTATGCCTTGCTTTCTGACTGAGTACGAGAGGAAGGCTCGCCAGCCGCGGCTCGCGCAAAGAAGCCTTTCGGAACGAAATTTGGCGACAAGAGAACCGGAGAAGAGTTGGCCACAGGAGAGAGTTGGCGACAGTAGATAGGAGACAGGAAGAAGAGTGAGGTCGAGATACGAGACACGGCGAGAGACGTAGAGCATTATCGTGAGTGAAACCGAGACAGAGCGTCGGGGAGGCAGGCTAGGCCGCTGGAGGAAAATTTGTTTAAAAGGCGCAAACTCAAAGGGCGTGGAGAGACGGCAGGGTTGAAGAGAGATGTGAGTGGGTAATGCATGTCTGGGCGAGTGGAAGGCTCGGAAAATTTACATGTGCTACCGGTATAAGTCGTAGGTATAAACAGAATAAGGAGTATATTGGGGAAGTTTTGACTTGATCGTCTTCATGAAAAGGAGAACAAGAAGAGAAGAGAATGTGCTATTCGAGCCTTTGGCAGTTGATTTTGAGGATGATGAGACATGTTGTCATGTTGTATTGTTTCGTTTGATGCTTTAAAGTTTAGAGAATATTCTTGGGCGGACGTCGGGCGCGCAGTGGTCGGGAAGATATCGACGCGGGAGGTCTGATAGAGCCAGAGGCGGATGTGTCTTGGTGATTGACCTGTTCGGTGTCCGTTTCTGACTCTGCGGGTCTTCCGGGGACAGAAAGGAGGAGGTATCGGATTTGGGGGAGTCTTGACCGTCACAGTCGGTGATTATGGTGGAAGTTTCGGGAGAAAGTCGCGGTCTCTTGGTTGGGGTTTGGTAGGGATCGGGCATTGACCGACTTGATGCCAGCATAAGGGGATCGACTGGGCCAGAAGCATGCGGCGTGGGGGAGGCGGGGCTTTGGGCGGCCTTGGGTTTCTTCGTAGAGGTAAACCTGGCCAACGCAACGCTATAGTCCGAGGGATTGCCGACCGCGCTCTTGGGTGTCGTCGGCAGTAGTTGTGTTGCAGAAGCCTGGTCGGACATGGCCTTGTCGTGGAAAGTCCACGTGTCGGGGACGACGATGAAGATATAGTCTTGGTCGAAAGCCGGGGCATGTTTCATGATCTGGTGATCCAGTAAGCCGGCGATTTTGCCCGTACAGGTGAAGAGAGCGTTCGACTGGAACTGGCTGTCGCGCCTCTCGGTCATCTTCTTGCATAGGAGGTCCAAGGATTAGCGTGAATGGGGAAGATGACGAAAACTTGGAAGGGTGAAAGCCCTTGAAGGGGTTTTGCCGGGAATCCCAGGACAAATAAAGGTGGAGAGCTGGACAAAGCCGCAGCAGCTCAGCTGGGTGTCGTCAAGGGCCGCAGCCGAGTTTCCATGCAGGAGGTCGCGGCCGGAGCCGATGACAGGTCCCGTGAAGGAGACAATGGGTTGTATCGTTGGGAAAGTATCCACCGAGCTGAGGTGCGAGTGACAATTCTATGGATATCGTCAGGGAGGGCAGTGGCGACAGAGAGATTTGGAGCATAGACTCACGGTTGGTAGCTGTGATCGCGGACTATAAGCGCGGGGACGGTGTATTCTGTGATGTTATCATCGTCCGACTCCAAGCCATCACGTCGCTCGATTTCCCACGTCAGGGCAAAGGGATGAACACGGCCGACCATGAAGAACCATTGCTCGGTCCATTCCGAGGAGATTATCTGTTGGTTGTATATGGAAATATTAAGGCTGAAGAAGATGCAGGTCGATGGATTGCCAGTATCTGACCGGATTGCTGCATACTCCGGAGTCGACAGCCATGAGGGCGTGGGAAGGAAGACCCTCGCTAGGGTTTCTGCGTTGAGCCCTTTGACACGATGCTCATTCTGGTAGGCGAACCTAGCCGGGCAGCCGGGCTGGACAAAGGCCATCATGGACATGTCGGCGCCAGCATTTTTCTGGCTGTCAAGAGGTTGCCGCGGGGAGGACGAGGTATCGACGTTGAGCTGGGAGGCCGACATCGTGAGAACATGGCAGATGTAGTCACCGTGGAAGTGTAAATGAGGGGTTACGCAGAGTGGAGGTGGGCATCCTATAAAGCAGGTTTTCTTGCTGCTCGAAAGAGGGCTCGCGGCTAGGGTCGGGAGACTTAAGAGTCAGAGAATGCTACCTAGGTGATAGATCAGAAGCGGGGGTATGCGGGAATGAGCTGGCGAGGTTCTTGAACAGTCTCGACCATCTGGTTCTATGGTCGTGAGTGAAGTAGGGAGCCGGGGGTTGGAAGTTGAGTAGGGGTGATGGCTATGTCGCGAGAAGTTGGAGGTCGGCGAACAGTAAGGTTAGTGTGGGTAAGTCTGCGGAGAAAGAAAGTCCAGCAGTACCCTTCGGTGTCATCGTTGCATGGAGTAGATAGCAAAGGCGACAATAACGAATGAGAGTGAAGGAAAGAAAGAGGTTATGGTAGTATTGCAGGGGTCCCTTTTTGACGGTCGTCGGTAGTTGGATGGGCATTGCGTGCGGCTGAGCGAGGCGGGTGCCGACCGTGTCGAGTCCACTATTGGGACACGGTGAAGTCGGATATAGGGGACGACCTGAGGAGGAGGATGCGAGTTGGTCACGAGAACTCTCAAGAGGGTTTGCAAGTCGAGACTCCGGTGGCTAGCGACTACAAGAGGACAGGCAGGGGGATCCTGGCTGTCGCTTTAGCATGAAGGCCGTTGATGCGACGTTGGTGGTGGCGAGGGAGCAAACCTAGCCGGGTAGTCCGGTTGCACGAGGGACACCGTGGACATGTTATCGCCGGCAGCCTTTTGGCTGTTGCTCGACGAGGTGGAGTGGCAGATATTGATGGAGCAACTGATGCGCAAGGTGGGTGGGACGGCGTTGGAAGGGCCGGAGAGTATGGTTGGAAGTGTGCGGCGGGCGGTTGGCGCGGCCACCCCATGTGCCGGAGGTCGGCAGTAGCCAGGATTCGCTGGAGTGCGCAAAGAGAGCACGGCGATGGAAGGCCGCCTTTGGCAAAGCTGGGGTAGCAGGTCGCACGTGGAGACCAGCCGAGGGTCGGGACGGTGGACGCACATAGGGAGGGTAAATGGGGGATTACAAAGGGGTAGTAGTATTGCATCGCTTCGGTACCATAGGCAAGCATTATAAGGGAAGAAATGCCACGGCCATGAGAGTAGTGATCGTTAGGAAGCTTCCCACTCGGAAAGAAATAGTGTACGCCAAGAAGCGAGATTATCCAAGTGGAAGTGCTCCGGAGCCAAAACTTTCTAGCCTGTTGCCAATCCACGCTAGTCGACGTCGAGGAGGCAGTAGCATGGCGGACAGTCCTGCAGGGAAGCTAGGCGAGGCGGCCGCTCACCGTGGAGCCTGTTCGTTGTCAGTCGAGGATGGAGAAGAGGGTAGGAACGGGGGAGTGCCTGTTTCGGGGTGCGGAGATGATACAGGGGCAACTCCCGAGAAGGGCACGGAGCACGGGAGACAAGGTTGGGGCGGTTCGGGAGATACAGATCAGTGGCGAATGAAGCATTAACGTTCCGGCTGATTCAGCCTAAGCAGTCTGCGGTCGAAGAAACCGCATGGAGAAAGCATGCAGAGGCGATCGCAAAGTCACTGCCGAGAAGACCGCCGCGAGGCGGTTTGCGGTCAAGCAGAGCACGGAAGTCCCGTAATTTGGTCAGCAGCGGAAATTCCGCGCAACGTCAGTCACCGAGTCCGCTTCCGAGGTTCGTGTTGCCTACAGAACGTGGAGACCAGGGGGCAGTGGGCTCTGACAGTCCGCCCCTTCATCGGCCGTTTTTGCCCCAGGAGAGGGGTCCTGAAGGTGACGGGCAGGGAGATAAGGCGGCGACCGGCGGTGTCCCGGGTGTTCGTTCGAAAAAGGGACCGACGCTCCGACCTATCCAGCCCAAGGATACGACTTTCCAAGACCTAAGACGAACGGCGCAATTTGCAGCATCGATTGCATGGGGTTTGCCCAAGCTCCGTCGGGGACCGGTTCGGCGGCCAAGGGCACAGGTGGGTGTGGACGATGGCGCAGCAGAGGCAGCGGACGGCTCGCTGCGCGGACAGAGGCAGTCCCGGAGGCGGGAGAGAGCCCGTCTTCCTAGCCGGGATGGGCGCCCGATAAAACAGGTCCGAAGTGGAATCGGAAGGCATAGGAGACGGGAGCTGCAGGCCGAAGACCTGGCGAGTGTGCTGCGCTTTTTGGAGGAAGACTTTGCCTTGAAGGAGAGATTGTCTAACGATCAGACGTGGTGCACGCCAATACCGCTCGAGAGGAAGGTGTCGACGGTGCGAGACTTCTATCAGGCGTTCCACGATGCGAGCACGTTGCCGATACGGACCTGCATGGTGTGCTACCGCAAGTGTACGAGAGGAGAGTTGAGGGAGATTACATGGGATCATTGGCTGTCAAGTTGCGTACCAAAGGGCGGCCGCTCACCATTTTCATGCCGGAGTTGCTTTCCTGAGGGCGAGTCCGTGTCGGTGTGCGCCGAGTGTGGCCGATGCCTGGCGCGCAGGAGCCTGTCGCCGGCGATCCACCTTCACAGTCGCCTTGGCTGCGAGCACATGTTCCCCGATGAGCTCAAGGGACTGACGCCGGTCGAAGAGAAGCTCATCTCGCTGAACTCATGTTACGGGTTTGTCACGAGATATAGCATTCCGGGCGGGCAGAGGCAGAGCGTGAAGTATCCGAGGCATGTCAGGGGCACATCACAGTGTTTCCGAACAATGTGCAGGAGCTGGCCACCAAAGTGCTCCCGCACCCTTTTGCAAGCACTGGACGAGATCCACATCTCGTGGCAGGGCGCGGAGAAGCCGGCACCGAGTGACCTGTCGAGTCTCTTGTCGGTGAGGCGGCGGGTGGTCGAGAGGGCCCTTGTCTGGCTGAAGCGGAACAACCCCCACTACGCCGAGATCGAGATCGACGCGGCGGAGATGGAGAGCTGGGGAGACTCGATACACGGGGTACCGTCGTCGGTGTGCGATCGTATGGAGCGGAACGAGCCGTCTGGGGGGAGAAAGCGCGGACGGCGCACGTTGTGCCGCCCACGGAACGCGCCGTGGACGAGGAGGGCCGGTGGAGATCGAGGAGCTCTTCGCCCTGCTCAACCAAGGACAAGAAGCCGGCGGCCAGGGTGAAGGTCACGGGCCCAACGGAGAAGGCGCGGTTCGCGATGGAAGTGACGCCTGCCCCGACCAGAACGTTCCAGCGATCAACGAGGTGACGTCTTCTGGCATGTTCGCGCTCGACGGACCGCCAGACGTCGCGGACGTGGAGAAGCTGCAGTTTGCCTGTGACGCTGTTGGTGAAGGTGCCGACGACGGCCGTGCGGGCCCGAGAGCGTGGGTCGGGTCCCTAGCCGGGGGGGTTCGGGGGCGTGGCGACGGTGGTTGTGAGCCATACATCCGGGTTTCGCGGGGATGAGTTTACCGATTCCTTTGAGGCGTCCTTCTTTGCCAGGACGTTCCCGACCCTGTTCCCATTTGGCGTTGGGGACCAAGGCTGGTTGAAGAGACCATGGTCGACGCGGGAAGGTCACGGCCAACTTGCGAGGCAGGGCTGTCGAGGCAGAGGCGGCCGCGGAGACCCGTATCGTCTCGAAGCTTGAACCTTCAGGCGTGGGCCGAGATCGTGCTCCGGCGCCATGGTGGTCGATTTGCACTGCACCACATCTTCGCATTTCTCGTCTTCAACATGGGGTGCGGTCGAGGAACCGCCGGGTCAGCATGTTGAGTGTGGGGGAAGAACTTCCGCAAGGTAGAGCGCATCGTGCGTTCGATGACCACAGAAAGGCTAGCGGCGGCGAGGGTCGAGTTGGAGAGCTCGGGTAAGACGACCGATGGTGACGTGAAGGAGCTTCTCAGGAGCCTCTCGCTTTACGGCCACCGGCAGCCCATGTCGAGAGGTCCGTCTCAATATGCGGCGGAAAATCCAGTCGCTCATCGTCGGATATGGCGTGCCGGCCATCTGGTTCACCATCAACCCGAACGACATTACGAACCCGGTGAAGCTGCGACTGGCGGCATACCGCACACGCGATCCCGACGCGGCCGAGGAGTTCTTAGAAGGCCTTGGGGATGCGTATAAGCGGGCACGGCTGGCGATATCGGATCCCATGAGCTCGGCCGTGTTCTTCCACCGCGAGATGAAGCTGTTCTTCGATCATTACGTGAAGGTCGGTGAAGAGTCGGTATTCGGGCGCATCGGCAAGTACTATGGCGCCGTGGAGACGAACGAACGAGGGCGCTTCATGTTCACGGCTTGCTCTGGCTGCACGGGAACGCGCATCTCAGCTCGATGCTTGCCGACATCCACGGGGAGGATCAGGCGGCGTATCGCGAGCGAATCGTCCGATACATCGATAGCGTCTTCTCAGAGGTAAGAATGCCTACCTAAGATGTGCCACCGGGAGCCTGAAGTACTCTTCTGATGGCCAAGTGGGGCCGGGTTGACGTGCAAGGCAGGATCTGGACCAGGAAAGTTTTTGCGCCGTGCAAGCGGAGCGATCTGTGACGGGCGGTATTGGTTCCCTGCTGGACAACGCCGCGCAGTTCTCGGCCGCGTTTATCGAGGAGGCCAACTTCTGTGCCGGCGCGACGCAGGTGCACACGCATAGCCCGACCTGTGTGAAGTATTCCTTGGGCAAAGGAGGGCGGAAAGGGGACCTCTGCCGGTTCAAGGCGCCATGGAGGTTAGTCGACAAGACCGCCCTCACGGCAGACGGGGTGCTGCAGATCCGGAGGACACACAGCATGGTCAATCGATGGAACGAGGCTATTGCTGTCGGGCTCCGGCACAACCATGATATTTCCTTCATTGCGACGCAGCGCAAGACAATGGCCCTCATCTATTATGTCACGAACTACGCGACCAAGGTGGAGGACCCGGTGTGGAAGCGTGTGGCGGCCGCGGCCGAGCTCCTGGCCGCCTCAACAGGTGATGGCACGGCCAACGGAGGGCGGGACGGTGGCGGAGACGCTGCCACCGATGACCCTGTCAAGGGAACAGGACGCGACAGTTCCTGATGAGAGTGGCGAACCGCGTGTTCACGGAGCGTCCGCTATCACAGGTCGAGGTCGTCGCTCACCTTCTCGGATATCCGGCCGAGTTCACCGACAGCAGCGCGTGGGCGTACCTGAACTGTTCTCTGCTGTACTGGGAAGTCTTTCGGCGATGGCGGCATCTCCGAGAAGCCAGTGGCGCTGCGGCTACGGATGACACCTTGGATGAGTCGGTCGTCGTCGAAGAAGAAGGCCTGAGAATCTCCCACGTCGAGGCGTACCAGCACCGGGAGAGCTGCTGAAAGGCCTATGCCTGTATGACTACATATCGATCGTCAGACTGAAACGCATCGGCAACGACGAGAGCTGGGCGGCTTGGGGAGATGTCTTTCGAGGATGGATGGGCGCCGGGACGACGCTGGGTTCAGGTGCTCAGGCGGCCGGGCAAGCACGCTACCGTCTGCCTCGACGGCTACCTGAGCAAGGACTTCACCTACGATGACGAGTCGTGCTACCGGAGGTGTGTATGGCAACTGCTCTGTCAGCGGGCATTATCGGAGAGGCTAACCCACCCCTGAAGGGCAGCCGTGCAGCATCTTGCGCTGTTCGTGCCGTGGAGTCCTTCCTGGGCGAAGGAACAGGTGAGATCAACAGCATCTGGGCGCGGGCTCGAGACGCTATGGCCCCGAGAATATCATGTCTCGTCGACAACGTGCAGCTGCTTCGACGATCCGCCGAAGACGCAAAACGCGACGCCAAGCAATGGGCAGCCTCGTCCGGCGATGGCGACCCGACGGTCGCACACGTCGAGGAGGGTGGAGCAGGCGAGGCGGGCGCGGAGTCTGCAGCGACATATCAGCCCAACAGCATCGGAGACGCAACGCGGCTCATCGACGTCGTCCGAGGTGCAGTGGGAGCGAATCAGGTGACGGCCAAGTCGCCGGAGCTCATGGCAATGATACAGCAGCTCTGTCGGTTTCAGCAATCGGCGCTGCGCTCGACGGCCGAGCTCGAGGCCACGGCGCTGATCGAACGAGAGAGGCGGTTAAGCATGCCAGGGCGGGTATTTTCCGGGGCCGCACTACCGCCGCAGGATCAGGTCAAGGCTATCAAGTCGCAGCAGGTAAGTGCCTCGAAGGAGAGGAGAGGATGATCAAGGGATACAAAGCACGCCCGCCGCCTGGGAAAGCGATCGCCGCGCAGCGTTGCGAAGGGTGATGACCGGTTTCGGGAGGACGAGGTCGAAATGACGATGGCCGACTCCGACGAGACCGCTATCGACGCAGGGGCGGGAATGGACGTTCAGTTTGGCCCATCAACCTCCTTCCTCGCGGCGGGCAAGGTGTTGGCAACACGGCTGACGCTGAACAAGAGGCAGTCCATCGCTTTTCTGATAATATGCCGGCAGCTCGATTTGATGCAGCAGACCGACGGGGCGATGCCTGCCAGCTGCGCCAGTTCGTCGGTGGCGAGGGCGGTACCGGCAAGTCGCGAATCATCGAGGCACTCGTCGAGCTGTTCAGTAAAAGAGCCTTTCGAATCGTCTGCTGATCACGGCGACGTCGGGGACTGCGGCGGCGCGGATCAACGGCATCACGATCCACCCGCCTGCGGGTTCACTAAAGACCAAGGGGCGGGGCGCGAACATGGTCAAAGACCTTGACGGGGTGCGGCTGCCGAAACAGGCGGAGCGGTTCATCCACGGCCAGTCTCGAATGGATTGGCAGGAGAAGGATGTGCTCGTCATCGACGAGGTGAGCATGCTCGGGGCGCGGACGCTGCACGCCGTGAACGAGCGGCTTCGCCGGCTTCGCGGATCGCGGCAAGATTTCGGGGGGATCCCCATCGTCCTCTTCTGCGGAGATTTTCAGCAGTTCCGGCCGGTCCAAGAGAGGTCGATCGTCCTGCCTAGCGCGGCCATCTCGTGGGACGTAGACAACTCGTTCAAGGCCGAGCAGCGTCACCAGCACGACAAAGCGCACGCACTGTGGAAGAGGTTCACGACGGTCGTCATGCTGGACGAGCAGATGCGCGCCGCCGGCGACCCGGAGCTGCAGAGGCTGCTGAAGCGGATCCGTCTAGGCGTGCAGGATCGGACGGATCTAAACCTCCTCAACTCAAGGTGCTACCGGGGGAAGGCGGATCCCTTGGGAGACGGGCATCACCGTGGTGACGCCGCTCAATAGGAATCGGTGGAACCTGAACATGGAGGCGAGCCTGGCGTTCCGGGTCCAGCAGCGGTCGACGATGCGCATTTTCATCTCCGAGCACAAGTGGAAGGAGGAGCTGCCGACGGAGGAAGAGGCGATCATGATACTCAACCAGGGCGACGATAGCGCGATCCCGGTGCCGGCCGTCTTCATGTTCGTGGCCGGGATGCCCATCGTCGTGAACCACAACACCCACCAGGGGCTGAAGCTAGTGAACGGCGCGAGCTACTCGGCGGTGGAGGTCATTGTCGACAAGGCGTACCCGGGGCATCGGATCTCGGCCGATATGACGATCCACTTCGGCCGCCGGCGGGGATCATTCTCGAATCGGAGACGACGAGATATCTCCACTTCGTCGGGATGCCGCCGGGCACGATCTTGTTGACACCCATGACCGTTAAGATACAGTGCCAGCGAAAAAGGCCGTGGCAACGCAACGACGTCAGCCGAAAGGGTTTGCCGTGCGCAGCAGCGTTCGCGTGCACGGACTACAAGGTGCAGGGCAAAACGCTGGAGCGCGTGGCCCTCGAGCTGCGAGGACACGGACGACGAAGATGGATGGAACGGTGGTGCCCTCGCAGTGCGACCCGTACGGCCTGTACGTGCAGCTATCGCGCTGCCGAACTCTAGACGGCATCATGCTCGTGTCCAAGGTGCGGGACAGAGACTTGGTGGGCAACCGGGTCCCCGAGGAGATGACTGCCGCACAGGCCAGGCTCGAGGTACTGAGCGAGAGGACCGTTGAGGAGGCGTTGCGCTGGCTGGACGGTGATGCTGAAGAGTCAAGGCGGCCGGGCTAGGTGACGCGATGAAGAGTTCGGCAGGCGGGAAGAGTCGGCAGGCGGCAGACAGGGTGGGAGGCGCCTAGTGGTGGGATAAGGCACGCGAAAAGGCAACAGAAGCCGGGGGAAGGGCAGCGACCAACGAGGAGGGAGGCAAGGAGGGACCAATCACAAGGGACCAATCAAGGGGCGGAGAACTTTTTGGGGGAGAGGGCGGGGTCTGCGGGGCACGTTAGAAGGCCTTTCGTTCCTCAAGGCAAACGCCCTTCGGGCTGAATAATCCACTGGTCATCTACCATGCCCCACCCCCCTTTCGGTAACACCCACCTTTCGGTAGCGCATTAGGAAATATCCCCACCAAAACCCATCAATTTCACTTACACCGATTCCAGCCAGCTTTGAAGATATTCACAAGCCGTCACTTGGAGTAGATAGAGGATTGATTGAATTCTACTTTTCGATGGTTGAATGTTTGTACAGGGTCTGTGGCCTGTGCGTACCTTGCACGCGAAATTACCATCCAACCCCCTAATCTCCTTCCGCCTCCTGACGATGATTCTTCTCGTTATTCCTCCACCACATGACCAAAATGACCTTAAAGCGGCCTCGGAGTATTTATACGGAGGATATTATGGCTAATGCGATAATTGATGTCACAAAAAACGGCTTGTCGCAGTACCGCGCCGCCCAAAAGTATGACATACCTCAGCAGTCTATTTCCGACAGACTCAAAGGCCAGGTAGCCCTGGCTGATCAGATCCAGCCTCGTCAACTCTTGAGTAAGTCTCAGGAAGCTCGCTTGGTTTCTTGGATCCTCCGCCAAGAGTCTCTCGGCTATGCTCCCTCCCACAGTCAGATCCGCGCATGTGTGGAGGCTCTTATGAAGCAACTGAACAACGAGCGGACAGTGGGGCGCAACTGGGTCTCTAAATTCATCAATCGCCATCCGGACATCAAGAACAAGCGTGGGAGACGTCAGGAAGCTAACCGATTTAATGCTTTTACGCCTCGTGCGGTTCACTGGTTCTTCGATATCAGGAAAAGGAGTATGGATGGATTAAACCAGAAAATACCGTGAATGTTGACGAAGGCGGTATTATGTCTGGCTTTGGTGAGTATTTGGCTTGTCTTTCATTACTTTTACTAACCAGACTCTTTTTGCCAGGTTTGGATAGTCTTGTGGTTGGGAGTGCAGACCCAAAACGGAAGGCCCTTCTGAAAGGGCCACAGTCCCGCAACTGGACCTCATTTATTGAAGCTATCACCGCGGACGGCCGTGTCCTTACCCTGGCATTATCTTTAAGGGCAAAGAACTTCAGAAACAGTGGTTCTTGACGGAATTCGGCAAAATAGCCGACTGGCATTACATAACGTCGCCCAACGGATGGACGGACAACCATATCGCTATTGAGTGGCTTGAGAGGGTCTATTTGCCCCAGACGCGACCAGCCGATGCCTCAGATGCTAGACTGATCATATTAGATGGACATGGAAGTCATGCAACGGTGCGTTTCTTTATCCACCTCTGTAGGAATTACCGTTAACCGGGACCAGGATGCATGGATGGCCACATGCTTTTTGAACAACGTTTATTGCTGTTACCTTCCTGCCCACTGCTCTCATGGCCTCCAGCCGTTAGATAACGGTGTATTCAATGCCTCCAAGGCAGCTTACCGGAAAGAACTTCAGAAATTGACCTGTTTGACCGATTCTGCGCCTGTTCATAAGGTCAATTTTATACGGGCATATGCTAAAGCGCGCGAGGTTGGAATGACGGCAAAGAATATATTGTCCGGCTGGAGGGTCACTGGGAATTGGCCGATCTCACGATCCAAGGCATTGCGGCATCCAGAAATTCACGCGGACATTGTAGAGACGTCTCCAAAGTCCGCGCCATTTTGGGTTCTGATGATACGCCAAGAAACAGCCGCCAGATTCGCGATTTCGGAAAGAACAAGACTCCTGGCACCCGGAGACGATACGCCGTGATAGCTAGAGGCTTTGAAGCCCAAGAACAGACGCTTGCCGAGCACAGCAACAGAATCGCGAAGCTAGAGGAAGAAGTGGCCCGGCTGCAGAGAGGCAAGAAGAGGAGAGCAATTCCGAACCGGAACAGACGGTTCATGACTCTCAGTGAAGCTTTGGTGGCTGAGGAAGCCATTCCCCAAATTAAAAGCCAAGAGATAGCCGTTGTGCTGAATTCTGACACAGAGGAGGAGGCGGTCTCAGAGGTGGAGACAGCTTCAGTGATCGAAGTCAAGGTGGCACCGAAGCCCTTCCAGTCACCACCAGATCCGGGCGAATGGTAAAAAGCGCCGGTACATATAAGAGCGTCCATTTCTCTACGGAATGATATAATTTTTGTGTTTATAATGTTAAGTTCTGATCATATTTCATGTAGTTCAAATGGTAGACTTTTGGTGGAGAATTTTTCAATTGCGCTACCGAAAGGTGGGTGTTACCGAAAGGGGGGTGGGGCATGGTACCCTACACACTTTCCACCGTCAACGGCAATTCCGTCAATCATCCTTCCCTGCATTTTTACTTTCTTGGCACGCAAGTGTTAAGGAAGTAGCCTATCCATACAGCTTTTCGCTTAACAGTGCTCTTGAAAATTCCGCAACAGCGCCGCGCGAAAGCGCCGGCAGCGGCCATGGCACCAGCCTCAGGTTCGCGCGCCGCTCCTGTGCTGTCGACATACAATCGCCACCTGATCTAGCAGCCCGTGCATCTCAGCACCTACTGTCCTCTCCGGCGGAGGCTCGTCCAAATGTCTCAACCCTGGCGGCTCAGCAGCTCCCTCGACCGACGTCTCCCAGCGACACGCCCAACGCTGCCGTCGCGGAAGGAACGCAGCCGGAAATAATCCCGAATGGCCCTGGTTCGACCGGGTCTACGGAAAATGCACCTGTCTCCATCATCGAAGCGGCTACAAAGATCGCTCGCGACCAAACGGCAGCCCATGATGCCAAGCTGGCAGTCTTTCGGGCCTTTAGCGAATCATTCGAACAGACAGCCAAACAATTCACGTCCGGCTCCCACAATAGCATCGCAAAGCAAGTTGCCACCAAGTTTCTGAACCTCTGGACTCAATCGCTCGCCGACCTTGAGGAACCACCGAAACCTACGTACAGCAGCGTTCTCGCATCCGGCAAAACGACACAAGGACAGCTGGCCATTACGGCCTCCGCCCCACCACAGCGAAAACAGCAAACCACCACTCGTCTCCAAGGACGACCGCCCGTGGCCCCACCCAAGGAAGACCTGCGTGTCTTTGTCCGACTTGACGCCGATGCTCCGGCCCGAAACCATGAAAGATACGCTATCCGGGCCCACATCGCCGCTAGAGTCGGCATCGACCTACGCCGCATCCCGGCAGCCTTCCCGGTAAACACGGGTTGGGCCATCCTGGCATCGGATGTGGCCACGCGCGAACTACTCGTGCAGCGACAGGCGGATTGGGCCGTAGATCTGGACGCGACGGCCGTAGAGATTAGCCAGAAATGGCATTCGTATGTCGTAGCCGATTACAATGTGACAAGTGCTGGGATTTCCACGTTCGACACAGCTGCGATCGAACGGCGCGCTGCAGGCGTTGTGGCAAAACCGGCCATCGTAGCCAAGAATGCACCGCCCTCGAGCAGTGTGCAAACTGCCTTGGACCCCATTGCGCGGATGACCCCAAATGCCCTGCCCGCCCCAAGCGCGTTCACGGCATGGTCCGGCGCCTGACGAAGGAGGAGAAGAGCCTGGTACGGCAGATGGGAGTTCAGCTCTCTGCGCAGCAGAAGCGGCAGACTCCAAAGGCCAGAGTGTCCGACCAGTCTAATCAGAGCCCTGGCAGGCCGCAGATACTTTCCTTGGAGTCAACGGCGCCGCGGGCAGCTGGAGGAGATGGAAGCTCCGACATGGGCGCCATTTACGAGCCAGCCGCGCCGTCAACCCCATGCATCGTTGTGGCCACAACGCCGCCGCATGTAAGGGACGGCGACCAGTTCCTCCCTGTCGTCCCATCGAAGAAACGACGCACTAGTCCTGTGACGCTACCCTAATGCCTCGCTGTTTTCCACGCAATCGAAGCGATAGGAGGATCTTGCGAATCTTCCAAGCCAACGTAGGCAAGATTCCGCCGGCACACGATTGTGCCCTTGCGTTGGCCGACTCGGAACAATACGACATTATTTTGTTGCAGGAGCCATGGACAGGACTGAAAGATGGCCGATGCCTCACTAAGACGCATCAGGCCTACGACACCTTCTCACCCGTCAACGACTGGGACGGCCGCGACACTCGCCCGAGAGTCATGACATACGTCCGGCGTTCCGCAGGTCTCGTCGCTGATCAAAAGAGACCTGCGGCGACTCGTGACATCCTTTGGCTCACCGTCAACGGCATAACAGTCGTCAACTTCTATCGGCAGCCGTACCACGACGGAGCCCTTGAAATCTTGCTTCAGTGGACCGTACCGGACAAGTGTCTTGTTGCTGGTGATTTCAATGCCAAACATCCCAGCTGGCAGGCCGGTCGACGAGAGGACCGCGGCGAAGAAATAGCGTTTTGGGCAATGGACAATCGACTCGGCTTACTGAATCCTGTCGATGTCCCGACCAACGCACACGGCAATACGGTTGATCTCGCCTTCTGCAACATACCTCTGGCCGACGCTGTTGTCGAGGATCATCTAGCAACCGGCTCCGATCATTTTACCCTTAGTATCACGCTGCCAGGACAAGTTCTGGCACCCCTTCCAATAGGAAAGATCCATCTCAACTCCGACGAGGAATTGAAGCGATTCATTGAATTAGTGGAGGCCGGTGCCGCCTTCATCCCGATCACCACGGCATCTCCTTCCGAGCTCGACAGCTTTGCGTCGGCGCTCGTGAACCTTCTTGGTTGTGCAGCCAGAGCTGCCGGTCGACCTGCCCGTAAGACTACGCATGGTGCGCGGTGGTGGACTGAAGAATGCGCAAAGGCGGCGGCCAATTACCGCGCGTGGAGGAGAGTTCACTCTCGGCTTCGACCGAGAAGTACAGCTAGCCAAGAGGAGCTCCATAGCGTGGTGCGCCGGGCCAAGCGCCTTTACTGGCGTAACTTGATTGACAGCTTCACCGATAGCGCCTCCGTCTTCAGGGCGGTCCGCTGGCTGAAGTCTCCAGGTCCGTTTCAAGCTCCTCCCCTGCAAATTGACGACCGAGTGTATGAGACGCAGCTGGAAAAGGCCACCGCCTTGCGACAAGCCACTCTGGAACGGCGCACGGCGAACGACGACATCCCAGATCCGTGGATCTCCGTGAACACAGATAGGACGATACCCTTCACCGACCGAGTCTCTCCGGAGGAGACCCGCGACGCCACGCTACGCACCGGGAATACGTCCCTGGTCCCGACAATATTACGGTGCGGATGCTCCGCGCTGTCTGGCATGCGATCGGAAGTCTCGTCCACCAGCTATATCAAGGCTGCCTCAGGATTGGCCACCATCCGAAGCCCTTCCGAGAAGCAGAAGTGGTCATGATTGCCAAGCCGGGGCGCAGGGATCTCTCTACCCCCCGCTTGGCGCCCCATCTCCTTTGTCCTGTCTCGGCAAGGGCCTCGAGCGGCTCATCGCACGGCGTCTAGCGTGGGCCTCGGTCCATTTCGGCGTACTACACCCACAACAAGCCGGCGCGCTCCGAAGAGATCGGCCGTGGATCTCGTTGCTGCCTTGATTCATGACATCGAGGAGGCATTTGCCTGCAAGCAGGTTGCAACATTGGTGACTTTGGACATTCAGGGCGCCTTCGACACAGTCCTCCGCAACAGATTGATCCTTCGCCTACGGGAGCAAGGGTGGCCACCGAACCTCGCGCGATGGGTCGGCTCGTTTATGCAAGACAGGTCGGCACGCATCCGCTATCAAGATATCGCAACGAATTCATCGCCTCTCCAGTGCGGGCTGCCACAGGGATCGCCAGTCTCGCCGATCCTCTTCCTACTGTATACGGAACCAATCTACCGCTTGGGCAGCTCAAAAGGGCGTTTCGGCTATGCGGACGACACTGCCATCCTTTGCGTCGGCGATAGCCTGGATGAGACGTCCGCCGAAGCATCTCATCATGTGCGTGAGCTTGTATCGTGGGGCGCCGCCAACGGATCTCCTTCGACCCTGAGAAGACAGAAGTGATGCACTTCTCTCGAACGACGCCCAAGACGGCGCCGCCAGTGCTCCATGGCGAATTTGAGAAACGGCCGGGCCGGGCGATGCGTTGGCTCGGCGTCTGGCTCGACAGCACTCTGTCTTTCAAGACTCATGTCGAGAAATGGACGGCCAAAGCGCAAGCAGTCGCCTTCCATCTCAGGAGACTGACAAACACCAGGCATGGTCCTCTACCGAGCGCTGTGCGACGAGCGGTCTGCGCTTGCGTCATTCCAGTGCTGCTCTACGCGGCGGAGGTCTGGTATCCTGGTTCTACGCGCCCGCGCTGGACCAAGCCGGGCAAGGAAGGACCGTCCAGGATCGGACACCTCGTAAAGAAGATGAGCAAGGCACTCTACACATCTCTTCGGGCTATCCTGCCAGTGTGGAGAACTACACCAACGAATGTTCTGCACCGGGAGGCAGGGATACCGCCGGTCCCTCTGCTGCTCGAGGCGCGCCGGACTGCATTTGCTGCGCGTCTCAAATCCCTGGACGAAGCTCATCCGCTCGTGAAGCGCACGTCGAGGCCAAAAGCCCCTATACTGAATGAAATGATCAAGCTGAAGTACCAAAAGCAGCCAAAACCCTTCCGGACTAGGCTGCGGCGCTCCGACAATTGCTACCAAGCTGCCCAAGGCCTGCCTTGCTGCAGCGCGGATTTGTCGAAGAGCAGACTGCGCCTCTGCAGAGTGCATCGAAAAATGAGACGGCGAAGAAATTTCGCGATTGGCTCCAGGCACTATCGCCCCGAACTCTGGTCGTCTATTCCGACGGGTCCCGTTCTGCCGAAGGCCACGCCGGATATGGCTATGTTGTTCATCGGGACGGATCCACCGTCTTGCGCGACAAGGGCCGTCTCAGGCCCGCCGAGGTTTTCGACGCTGAGGCGAAAGGTGCGTTGGAGGGGTTGAAGGCTGCGGTGAGCCTTCCAGAAACTGACCGCATCTTTGTCTGCCTCGACAACCTCGCGACCGCAACATGCTTACGGGGCACGCCGAGCGACTCCTCGCAAGAGGTCTTCCTTGAGTTTCAATCTTTGGCGCGAAAATACGGAGCTGTGGAGGTCCATTGGATCCCCGGCCATGCTGACATCCCAGGCAACGAGGAGGCTGATGCTCTGGCAAAGGCGGGAGCATCACTGCCAGAACCCGCTGATAACGTCCCGACGCTAGCGCACCTGCGAAAGATTGCCCGACAGCAGCCGGAAGAGGCTTTCAAGGCCTGGTGGGAAGCCTCTGCGCCGGAGCGATACAGAGACCTGAGGCTTAAAGCCACAACCAGCTGTCCGTCAGAATTGGCGCTCTCGGCCCCTGCTTCATAACTTGCTTGCAGCAAGAACCCACCATGGGGATTTTGCTGACTACCACGAAAGGTTTGGTCACGACGATGCGCGACTGACGTGCTCGTGCGGACGACGAAAAGAGCCAGCACACATCTTTTACTGCAGAAAGGTTGCGCCACGGCATCGTATGCGGCTTGCACCTTCGCCGCCTGCAGCCATCAACCGCGCAATCGGCAAGGACTTTGACAAATTCGTCAGGCTGGCGAAAGCGAGCTCCTTCTTCGGAGGGATCTGCCCACGCCACTAGACGGTCATCATTCTCCTCTCTCCCTACCTTTCCTCTCAATCCTTTCTGTTACCTGCTCCGATCTCGGGCGGCGTCAAGATCTCGCGACCATGCGATCGCCGAGGTCATCAAGGGCTGCAAGGCCCCAGAAGCAAATTGGCTGATCTGACCACGGGACAGCTTTCTCTTCATGCCTGGACGTCCCGCTGACGGGCAACAGGTTTGTCATGAGCGCCGTTGAGCCGATGAAATGCTGGATAGTGGGTGAAGTGTACGATATGTAGCATGTAGACACCTGCTAGCTCAGCACGTCCTGTGCTCCCCTGCGGAGACCTGAGCGACCAAAAGTTGCTGGACGGAAAATACACTAAACTAAACTAAACCAATTCCGTCAATCCCGTCAATCAACGCGAGATCGGATTGAATTGCCGGCTTAATCAGCCGACCATCGATTGCGTTGATTGAGTTGCCAGTTGCTCAACTGGATTGAGCAACCGGTTGCCAGGATTGAGTGGTTTGCCAGCCTGCTCTATCCACTGCCAATCCTCACGCCGCAGCTCGTTCTCCTCGCGAGGGCCAAGACGAGGAGCAAGATAGGAGCAAGACGAGGGGCAGGACGAGGGAGAAGGCGAGGCCTCTACAGATACAGAGGCGGCGAGAGGGCCAGCTTATAACACCAGGCACCTCCAGAAGAGACGACTCTAACTGGTGCCCGGCTCAGGCACATTATCAATGCCTTCCTCTCCAAATAGTTGGAATTGGTGTTGAGCGCTTAGTGGAATAGCATCGCCCTGAAGCTGGGCTTGAGCTCGTCGGAGAGAATGGTTTTGTTCGAGGATTTGGTCTAGTTGTACCTATATTATTTTAATACGCACATGTATTTACACCAAGAGTGAAGTTGCTCACATATCTTGCCAGCCCGCCTCGTGGCGGCTCCATTACTGCAAGAATTGGCTGGTGACCACTTTCCTGATGCTGCCGTATTCGACGGCGAAGTTCCATATATTCCTCAAAGAAGGGGTGCTTGTGATCTTGCCTTGAATCAAGCAACCCGTCAAACCCCATCGCTGTCAGCTCTTGCATACACCAGTCTGCTGTCTCTTGTGGCAAGAAGGAATCGATGTCGATATCTTGTATCGGCTCGAGTAAATCCTGCAGAACCTCGCTGGCCATACCCTCATCACCCTCGCTAAGATGCACCCCAGTTCGGTGCCTGATCCGTATTATAGAGATCTATAGGTCGGCCGCTTATTACATGTTGACGATTTCGTTGTGTGCGGATCTTGTGAGAGTTCCAAAGGTCCACGAAGGTTGCAAATTCGTCCCTGATCATCGGTGTATAGATTGCGTATAGCGCAATCTGGTCACTTAGCATCGACTCAATGAATAAAGCCGAGTGTGCAAGCTCATTGAAGAAAGACTACTCTATAATTAGCGTATATATGTAGTCTAATAGTTCGATTGACTTACAATCCATCGCTCTGACGCTCCAACTCGAAGGCTTCGCCACCATGACTCGATTCGCACATTCCGTGTACTTGGCCCGTACATATGACAAGACTCAATAAGGTCTCCTTGGCGATACATGTGACGCATACCATTTATATCCTCATACGTAAATCGTGCTGACCCAGCTCTTGCAATCGCCGCTTGTGCCGCAACCCAAAGAGGAGTCTCGACGCCGTGGTCACAGCGAGTGAAAAAGGGGCGCATTCCAAGATGCTGTACAGCAACAAGATACTGCTTGAGTGTGCTTAACGCTGTAGTCGCTGACCTTCCCAAGAAGAACCAGACAATACAGCGCGAATATGCATCAATGCAAGCATAGACTTGAAAGCCGAAGCGCTTGAGCTTCTCGTACCCATCGAGGCACCAAAGGAAGTTTGGTCCCGGCACGGTAAAGTCAGTACGATGCTTGAAGTTGCCCTCGCGGCGCCTTTGGACTTCCTCCGGAAAGACTGAACGGTAAAAGTCATAGAGACGGTTTTGCGATACCAAGACGCCACCTTTTAGTCGGACATAGTTGTAGAGATAGCCTCTGCCAAATGAACGAACCGCAGATGTCTCTTGGAGGTCCCTTCCAATGAATTCAATCGCGGCACGAAGAGCTGCTTGCCGTTCGTCGTCCGTGCGATAACGGCGTTTCATTCCATTCTGTAGTCGAGTGCGTACGACTGTGTGAAGGGATACTGTCGCATTCAGGATGCGTATAATGAAATGCGCGGTTGATAAGCGATGTCATCGAACTTTCTAGATAACATTACAAAAGCACCCTGGGTGGCAAGTGGCAATTCGCCACCGCAAGGCAGTCATATTCCCTCAGGACTATAAGGAGACAGAACTTCTCACATTCATTTTAGATAGACGACAATGAACAGATTGACTCTTACCCTCATTTTATTGCGAGAGATACCGTCATTCCATCCTTGGTCCGTAAGTCACGAACGATTGAAGAGTCACTATACCCGTATGTATAGAAGTAAAAGCGAACTCGTTCAATAAGCTCTTCAGTGATGTGTATATTCTGCCGTGAAAGACCCAGAGTGGCCAGATGGCTCTTTAATGTGCGTAACGAGATCTCTGCCCTGCTTCTTGCACGAAGGGTATCATTGACTTGAGCCAGTATACCCGTAAGTGTAAACTTTAACTCATGCATCTCAACGATCTCTTCGAACAAGTCATCAAGCCGTAATTGACGAGATAGTCCCCAGGCGGCAATTTGGGTCTGAAGGGTCCGTAAGCTGATTGTCGGAGAGTCTTGGGCGACGAGCAGGCTGTTCAACGATTGCAGCATTTCCTGTTGCGTAGACCTTGACAGGAAGAGACCATTAATGTGATCCCGGAAGGGCTCAAGATCAATACTGCGTTTAGGCATCGTTGTATCGCAGATATAGCAATGCAGTGGTCTCAATTGGGTTATTTGACGTCGGACGAGGGCTCCATACGGTCTTGTGCCTTGAGGCAGGCGGGGTTGAGGGGTCAGGCGGCGTCGTGGCGGTTTAGCGCGATTTCTTTTTTGCGGTGCGTGCCTTTGTTGCTTAAGGGATTTTCCGATGATCTGCCGGATCTGGTGATCTGCCGGATTGCGGCGACTTCGCACGCTCAACATCAATCGACAATAGCTCAACAACAACGGTGCCAATTGACGTATCCTTTGATTTCCTGAATCATCAGAAGCAGTGAAAGTCTGGCATATATTTAGAACTTTTATCTAGGGGGCAATGCGCTGCGGTGCTGACATCAAACCAAGCAACGGCCAAAATAGGATGCCGACAGATTGTGTAAGTCATTTCAGCCAATACAGCAAAAACAGAACATTATTGGCTTTCATCGTAGGCTTTAATCATGTGGGATTCTCCCCATTCTATCCATAGTGCAGAACTTGGCTCAGGATACTGCAAAAAATGGGGGTTGGAAGGGCGAGCTGGATAACTTCATTCTACGCACCCGTAATGAGCCAGATTGAACGTGATTCGACGGTACAAGCATCTTCTGAAAAGAACCTATCTATGCATCTGAATGTAAGGTTTATTTTTAGCTTGAAATTCAGTGCGCGAGGCTCCGCTTTCACACCTGACAAGGAAAGACGTGCACGAAAATTGAGAAATTCGACACCCTACCCTAAAACACGTATAACATGGATGAAATGGGCTTTCTATTCCTTATGAGCATTTGAACGAACAGGGTATTCCTCTTATTATAAGAAAACAAGGCAAAATTGCTCGGCGTATTAAAAAATGGCAACCCATCCTCCCTTACGTTCAAGATGTGCGTCAGTCAGAGATGGCATCGCTGCCCCATTTCTCATCCACCAAGACAAGCCAGCACAAACTCTGGACTTTTGGTTCGTGAAACGTGAATCAAGTCGTCAATAAATATTTTTAACACGTCAAAAACGAGGTGGACGAATCACAATATTGAAATGAGCAGCTCACCGGTACGTTCGACCGGTTTACCAGGGTGAAAGCTCGAAACGGTTGTGCTTATCGCCTTTGGTTCCCGATGGCCACTTAACCATTTTAGTATCGAATTTATGGAGTGGTGTGACCGGCACCGAGTGATCGTTGTGGTGTTTCCCCTCAATCCATTCATCGGCTGCAACCCTTGATGTATCGTTATTCAGCCTCTCTCAACAGCGTATACGCATGATCTTATCCAGTACACAGACAAATCAAAAGGTTCATTGGATTGCTGAAATCGAAGATCTAGACTGTGTTTTGGAACGCATTTCAGGAAGTAGTCGAGAAGTCCTCTGTTGATGCTGGCCGCAACAGCCGAAGGCTGAGCAGCACCCTCAGGAGCCCTCAATATGAGTTTTAAGTGCTTGATATGAGAGTTAAAGTATGCAGAGAACAAGTAGTCACAAGAACCAGCGCAGGCAGACCGGTAAGGCTTCAAAAGATGATCTCTTCTGCTGTACAGATTCTAGTGCAGACGAGGTGTTTAGCTCTAAAATTGTGGCTCAAGCTCGCCAAAAAATGACAGTGAAAGGACTCAGAAGCAATGAGAGGCGGAAATTGGGAGAAAACGACGGATGACGGAGGCCGTGAAGCAAAATAAGGAGATAAATTGGCATTATTAACAAGAGCTGAAGATTTTGAAAGTGGAAAAGCCACAGAAAATGCAGAATGAGCGACGGGTGGCTTCTGAGGGTCGCGAGAGGAGTCAGGATGTTCACGCTGCAAAAATTGTCACTCTTCCGTTCACACCAGAGCGGGCCATAGCATTGCAGGTACCAAACACACTATATAATAACGCAAATAATAAGGCAATGATAACTTCAAACGACATATCCTGTCCTCAAAGGCCCTCTTTAGCTGTTGATAGTGATCGGGAGGCAATGGGTGCATTTCGGGGACTTGCGCGATCGGAGAGTAACAGAAGACGACCTCGATGGCTGGATGACTTCAAAAAGATTGAGTGGCATCTTTGAGCATTATTAACTGCTCTTATAAGATTTTAGAACAATTCAAATAGTATTCGTGAAGTTATTCTCAGTTCTTTGCTGGAATGCAATGAGCCCAAAATCCGGCGAATCGCCAGATCCGGCAGATCACCGGAAAATCCCTTAATGTGCGACCGTATTCCACGTAAAACAGATGCTGACTAACGTACCCCACTGCGTCATGCAACGCACTAGGTCATGCAACAATTTTCAACACCTGACGCTGTCGAGAAGAAGGTCCGAACGAGTTGAGGTCTCTAGGTCTCTCTAGGTAATACAGCTTGAAACCAGGTAAGAAGGGAAGTCTGCAGACTGTTCTTTCTTCTTCCTAGACCACGAGGGGTCCGGAGGATCTCCTATTCGAACGGGGACCTTTTGAGGAGTCCGGCGTAATTATTACTGGCTCGGGGACCTCGAGAGACTGAACTATCTATCTAATAGCTAGAAGAGCTATTTGATCGGGGAGATGGAGCTGATGTTGCTGACGTAGATGACTTACGTGGCCTTCAGTAAGTGGCAAGAAGTGCCCTCTTTCTGATAGAATGTATACTATACCTGAAAACGGGATATCAACTTGGGAGAAGCTTGGAGGATACAAAAGAGGCCGTTTGGACGGGAAAAGGGCAACCGGGGGCAGAGCAATCAACACATGCATTCTCGCATACCATCTGATCATATGATACTCGACCTTCGAAAAGTCCCTTTATCCACTTCTATGCCCACTTTTGCTCTCATCTTCGCGAGATTCACAGAATGTTCTCGCAGCTTCCGGGTCCGCGGAGCGGGGCCGGTGCTGCCACCCGAGCACGACCCACCGGACCCGGTACAACCGGGTCCACCAAGCTGGGCACAGCCCGTGACATTAGCCCCCTTCCTCCCCTCCGACCAGGTCGGCGTCTGCGGGGTTCTTGCTTTCCTGCCAGCGTCTCGTACCTCTCCCTAGGGCCATCATTGGTCTTGATTGGCCCGTACTTGTCCTCGAATGCCTTCATCGCAATTGTTCCTTGCAACCACTCAAGTGGCTCCCAAGTCGGTTCTGCGTAGCCCGTCCATCGCACTAGTGCTTGCCTGAATTCCCCTCGTCCGCGCTTCTTCCATCTCGCGCTATGAGCTTTTAGTTCTTTGACCCACTTATCCCAATCTTGGGGTTCCCGTAGGATCGTTCGTTGGGTCGAAGTCCCGGTCTTTGTCATCTTTGCGGACGGAGGGGTGGGGATAGGTGTAATGATCAGATGATCGGTGCTTCTTGCAGCAGCCGGAAGTTACAGAAACGTCTGTTCTCCCGGGCTCATAACCCTCGCGAATAGAGCAGGGCAAGGGGCATAATATTTTTAAGGTGCATCTGTTTTCGTTGTGTTCCTCCTCCTGTCTGCTGTACCGTTCTCCCATTTATGCTCTTTGCCCTCTCTTCTTCAGTCTTCCATCTCCTTCATAGGCACCCTCTCTCCGCGTCAGCTTGCCACGTCATCCCTGTTTCATCCTGTCTCGTCCCTATACCTTCAGCTAGCTATCAGGGCTTCAGGAACGAGTCTTAGACCCTTCTTCTCGACAAGTTCAGATCGACCATCGAGGACCAAAGGAACCTCTTCATCGTAGAATGTATATCCTCCACAATAGAGGTCGTCGCGTGGCCAAGGTGACGATGGCGGTCAACGAAGCACATCACGAATTTCTCCTTCCAAGGGTCCAGTCTGCCGTCCGTGCCCTCAGGGGCCCTCAGGGCTTCGATATCCATCCACCTTGTCAACGGCCGGCCGACCGACCGAAATGCCGCCGCTTGAAGGGCCAATACTCGGGGGCTTGAGTACGTACCTAGTAGGCCCCCTCTCCGCATTGTGTATCGAAGTTAACCCCTGTGCAGATGTCAACGTGGGCAGCACTTTTTTTCCACTGGCCTCCGTCTCTCAAGACACTGTTGATTGGATGGAACAAGCATCTCGATGTCCACCTTCAGCTCGTTGACAAGTTCAGAGGTTCTGTAGTCTAGGCCGCCGCTTAGCGCCATGGGTCTTGAAACAAGATCCCAAAATCGAGGTTGAGTCCCGTCCTTACTAAAAGATGCGAGTCAGATCTAGCCGACAACGCCGTCCCTACAAATCACGATGGCGTTCGTTCATGCACCGTGGATCCCGGTTGTACAGGGGCGGGGTTGGGGGTTGGGGGCAGGTCTACTCTACGGCAGGGCATCCTGTAGACTCCCGCTGAAGAACAAACGCCAAATCAACCAGCGAGTCGGACCCATGAAACGTATGCAGCCCACTACGACATTTTGTTCTTGCGGCAGGACATTTTCCGCATGAGGGAGAGCCCAGAAGTTGGAGTGTGCATTCCACTTTTGCCAGGTGCACTGGTGCAGCGGCATTGCGACATTTAATGGCATTATGACTAGCTGGTGGAGCCGCTGGATCCCAACGGAAACTCCGTGCTTGTAGCTGCTTCTAGATCTGCTTATGCCTCGATTATGGTACTACCGGTAACTTTTATCACGCGCGAGTCAGATCAGGCGAACCCAGTCATGGGCAGGCAGCCCAGGCTTGTGGATCAGCGCTCCTAAGTGCAAACTTTGGCGGAGACTATTAAATAGTTTGCGCATTTACTAGCCTGACCTGTGTGTGTAGAGTCATTCCTGTGCAGTAATTCTTCATGACAGTCTAGTAATTGCCAAAACTACTGGGCGGCTCGAACTTATAAAGTGCGAGCATTCCACCTCGAGCTGGAAAGTCTTCGCATGCTACTTACTTCTTCTACTAGCACCATCATCGATTTTACCTCACTCCCTTTTGGTGTCCCCCTTTTGAGTACCTTTTTGCTAACATGAAGGCTTCAATTGCCCTTTTCATGTGCCTGCCGGGACTGGGACTAGCGTCCCCAACGCCGGACCAAGTTATAGCACCAAGAGAAAACGATTCGGCTCAACAAGTTGATGGTCAAGGTAATTATCTTAATGCTCAAGGTCAAAAACTTGATCCCAGTACTGGTCAATGGGTTGATGTCCCTGGTGCTCATCGACTTGATGGCTCAATAATTTCTGGTAAGACAACAAGGTCAAATTCCTACTCAGAAAATAATGTCGGTTCTGATGAGCTTCTTCCTCAAGCCGATAGCCAACCCGGTAAAGAGAAACAAGATAAACCCACAGGTGGTCCAGGCTGGGATACACTAAACGGCCTGTGGGGATAAAATGCTTCTCCGAGTTCAAAGAATATTGAACTGTGTCGGTGGTCTCTACACAGGCCTGCGTGCAAATCGCAATGGTATGTGTAATCGTTGATGTCTGTTCTAGAAAGGGGGAAGAGGGGGCAAAGGGCACGGAGCTAGCTATGTGTCCTCCGCTATCCTCAACTGCACACGTGAGAGCGCACGTGACCTATCTAGATGGGTACAATGGATTACTACAATTCCCACACTGGCAACTTTTCTTTTGTGGTTGCAATCGCTGTAACGAGCAGGGAAAGAGAGGGAGAGACCAGCTGCATTGGTGGCAAAATGTCAACAGGCCCAAAAAGTGGGGCCATAATGAAAAGAGGGGAAAAGAGTGTATTGGGGTCAAAGAGGTGAACAGTCGAAGAAGATTTGGAAGACTTGTCGGTGACAGGAACTGTTTGATTGTGTATACCTTGAACGTAGCGCTGATGCTTGAACGTAGCGCTGGTGCTAATCAAATGCGTTGGAGTCAACCGTTGTACTTGTGGTCATCGAGGTCTTTGGCTTGGCTCGAAATTGTGCTTCCTCGAGCTTTTCTTCTTTGTGGGCATATGGCTCCTCTAGGGACTACAGGCACATATTGTTATTTGCTCTTGTGTGCCGGCCGGTCCTCGAGGCTCCGTGTGCTGCAGGCTGGGGCTTGTTCTTTGATCCGGGCAGGCGTCCTCTCTTGTGGGGTGCAGGGTTTCATACCAGTTTGGGGTTCTTCTTCTTCCTAGGTAGGGTCTGAAGGATGTGGAACGTAATCCTTCCGACTGGTGTTTTGAGGGCGATGGAACCAATCAGTGAATGGCTTCGCCGTGTCCAAATGTGATGGTAGCCTGGCCGGAGGTTGAGCTGTCTAAGGCTACAGAGGGGTCTTCTCATTATAGAGCAATGTACTAAGAGTGACCGGCTGTAGAGACTTTTGCTGCACCTGTGTCAATCATGATGCCTGGGAAATTGTCCACTGAATATTGATCTTCAATGACGAATTGCTAGGCGGGAACAATGGTTTGATCCGTCCGGTAGACTTCTCCATTGTCTAGGGTGATTGTTGGTGCCATTGTCAGGTTCTTCCCATATGTCGTCGGTAGTGAGTTCATCAAGCTCATGACCTTCGTAGTCTATAAGATAGGCTATGAAGTTTGGAGGTTGTATGCCTGTGAATTGACAACGTGCGACATATTGGTCCTTGGCCTCTTGTCGTTCTTCTGCAGAGTGTTTGGTTGACCAGCAACCTTCTTGTCCACAAACAAAGCACTTTTTGGTCCAATTGCGATTGGTGTGGCTAGGGGTGTAGTTGCTATGGCTTGAGGGCCTGTAGCTTCCACGGTTGTAGCCTTGTCCATATCCGCGATTGGGTCGTTGTCCTGAGTATCCGTATCTTCCTCGTACGCGGTTGTTATGGTATCGGCGATCGAGGTAGTACTGATTGTTCGGATTCGTTGGTCCAAATGATCCGTCAGGGCTTTGCAAGTACTGAGGGTTTGTCTGTCGGGCAAGGTGGGTCTCAACGGAAGATCGTAGATCTGCAAAGAGGGTCTCGATCTTTGCTGCAGGTTTGAAGAGGGCGTGTTCAAGTTCGGGTACACCACGGCATGCGATGATAAGCGTAGTACGCAGTGGAATGTTTCCTGCGTAGTCAGGGCCAAGGGCTCTCTGACAGAGTTGTAGCTTATCGAAGAGTAGTTGAAGGACTTCATGGAGGATTTGGAAGCATCTTGGGCACGAATCGAGTTGAAAGTGGTTGTGGTCCAATCTGTATAGTAATGGACGTGGTTAACTTCCGTGTCAAAGCGTTGTTTGATGCTGTCGTATGCCTTCCTAAACGTGGTAGTCCATTCGATCTTGTCAATGTAGAACGTTTGTGCTCTTCCGGCGAGGATTCGCGGAAAAAGGGCGTGAAATTGTGACGGTTTCACTTGGATGTTGTAGCAGATGCTCATGAAGATTCGGAGTTTCTCATCGAGGAGGTCGTACGGCTCTCCTGTGTAGTTCTGGTCCTTATCCCAGAGCTTCATGAACATATATTGGGTATCTGCGTCAACAGTGGCATTCGGGGTATCATCCGGGGGAAGTTTTGTATATGCGTCGAGATGCATATGCTCGGACGGAGGTTTAGGTGGGGTTTTGGGCGGATTGGACGAGTTCAGGGTGCTTGAAGCGGTGGGTTGTCGGATGGGCTGTACGAGAGTTCAAGTTAGGTGCATCTTGGGTCAGAGCGGAAGTCGTGGGAGGTGATGTTGTTATCGGTAGTGCCTCAGTGATGGGTTCCTGGGCAGGTGGCTTCGTTAAGGTCTTAATGGGCTGTTGTTCGTTAAGACTGTAACGAGTGTTGCTACCGGTGGCGATTGGGGTTCTCGGGAGAAGTTAGGGCATTTGATCCTGTTGCTCGTAACTTATAAGCGGTCGTCCCAATGTCAAAATCCATCTCCATGTACTCTCGTTCTGGCCATGCAGGTCGGTCCTCCACAGTTTGCAACATGATGAATTGGGGTGCAAAGGGCCATTTTCCGTCCTGTATAGATGCCACGTCTCCTTAGAAGTAATCTAAGGGCTCTCTTGTAGTCCATATGTACCCGGTTCCATATGTCTTGGTTCCAGCCTTCGAAGTGTTGTTGGAAGTGGTCAGGATGTCGTCTCCTTCTAGGCGTTCGAATTGGGCATTGGACATGAACCTAGCGGCGTACGTCGTAACTGCGATCTCATCTTCCTCGTCAGGTTTGATGTCTTGTCCCCAAAGGGTAACATCAACTTTATCGAATACGGATGTCTGGATAGCTAGTCCTTGCATCCGTTCGCTCAATTGTTCGAGCTGGGCGCTCTCGTTCGGAGTCGTAGCTCGGTCGGTCGAAGTGAATGAGACGATGGAGTCGTATCTGGCTGTCGAAATACGTCTTTGTCGGGTCTAGTAACAACTGTTGATCGATGCCTTGCAGCCGATAATAGAAGTCGCTAGGCGATGTGGTCGCACTACTAATCGATGCCTTGCAGCCGATTAATAGCT